ATCGTGAGGAAATGGCAGCTTAGGGCTGAAACTCCTTCATTGCTTCTGCCAAGGAGATGATATTTGGACGTGTTGCCTCGTCAATTATTGGAAACAAGACCACACAAATTTAGAAAAGCAGAACAGAACTGATAGTCATTATGTTATAAAACCAGGGATGCTGAAAAAAGTATCACACTGTGTACTGAGCCCTGAGTGTTTCTTTAGCCTGATCGTGAGTTTGGTCATCTGGCTGTACTGACTGCATATGTTCTCATGTTTCTGTCTCGTTCCTTGTTATCCTTTCCAGGGTACCAGGGGAGAGGTGGGTGGGCCGATGGTGAGGGCTAGTCATTGGGTAAGGATTGGAAAAAATCGTGGACAAATAACCATTAACACGTTGTGGTAAATTTAGTCAACAATTAACACGATCCTACAAGTATTTTAAACTGTGGGAGGAGGTTCCTATAGATCTGTGTCCTTGAGATTAGTCCTCAACACAGAAATGTCCACTCTTTGGGGAATTTAAGGCCTTATTCCTTTAAAGATTAAATTGTATTTTTTCATAAGGTTTTTTCCTTAACTTTATGTGTAAGTATTATTATTAATTAAAGCATCAGAAAAATTAATAAAAATGAATATTCAGTATATGTAATGTTTCGTGTATGTGTTTTTCTGTACTACATATACAAATATAGAATTTAAAAAATAATATAAAGAGTAGTTCTGGAAGTCAGACTACTGTATCTGCTCTGGGAATTACTTCTTGTTGTTGTTTCACTGCAAAGTTGCAATGCAGCTTCCAGAATCCAGGGCCTCCTGTTGCTTTATAGTAAATAATAAAGAGCATGTTGCTGTTACATCATAGCCTGACAGCTTGAAATTTGAACCTGAGAACCACAAGAGGTGGGACGTCCTAAAACGCAAAGATAAAAGGGAGTGGGTGAGTCTTGTCTGATCCTGTTTGTGTGAACCAGTTTGACTGGTGCCCAAGGCATTTCTACGAGAGAACTGTTGAAAAGTCGTTGCTGCTGTACCTGTGGCTGTATTTTCAGTCTACAGAACATTGTAGCACTCTAATGTATTACACTGAAACTTTACAGGTTAACAGGGTTCAGAGTTCCTGCGGAAGGAGTGACTTTTTACAGTAAGGTAAGTTACTGTTGGAGATCATTGGATTATCAACAGTACTTTAATGTTTGTGTTGTAATCTGAACTGGGTTTTATTTTTAATTTTCTTTTTAAGTCTCTTGTTACTGCTGGATTTATTTTGAGCCTCATGAAGCAAATTTGAATGGCCAGAGTGGTAAACAAATGGTCACTTAAATTCTTACGTCACATCAAAACTGCCAAGGGTGAAATAGCTCAGTGATCTGATACCTGTCTATTAGGAACTACTGTATTTAGATTATACAAATTCAACATTAAGAAATGAGCAGATTTGAGATTCAAATGAAATATAAAATTTTAAACACTGACAGGAGCTGAGCAACACATCCTGTCATTCCAGCCTGCACCTGTTTTTTATGCATTTTTGCCTCCACTCACACAATCACACTTGGTCAATGTAATAAGAAGAAAGGTAAAAGCTCACAGGTGAAAGCTCACAGGGCCACATTTGTGAAAATTACAGAACTAACACTGTTGTTTGATTGGAAAACATCTGACAAACAACAGTCATTTACCAGGTAGTAGTGGAGTCACTAAAGCTAACTTACTGAGTAAATGTGTCTCTAGGTTGTCAATGCAATTATTTACAGGTAGTTATTGTTCACACGCAAACAGGAAAAATACATCAACACCCCTAATCCAAGAGCATTTAATGACCTATAGGAAACCTTTTCATTTCCATTAGACACATTGACTGTTGACATTGATTTTTTTTTAAACCAAAGGTTGAGCAATATTATATTTGAAAGAAACTGACCATGTTTTTTTATTCCTTACCTTCACAGATGGAGGGTGTCTCTTTTCCACCACTGTCCAGGTTTGCCGTTTGTTGTGGCACACACGGCAACGAGATGACAGGTGTATATATGTATAGACACCTACAAAAACAGAAGGTAGAGAATATCACAGTAACTACTATACTGTCAAACCCTCGGGCTGTGGATGCTTGCAAAAGATACATAGACATAGATCTCAACCGCTGCTTCACAAATGCTTTGCTGTGGTGAGTGGAGAAACCTGTTTGATTAGTAACAAATTAGAAAATTAAGTAGACAAACAACTTAAACAGTCTGGCATTTTACCCAACTGAAACCCTTCCTTTGTACTGACGAAAATATCTTGTTTTCTTACATTGACCATATCTCTATCTGTGCCTTTGCAATCTAAACAGCACTTCCATTAACAACTTTTAAACGGTCTTTTATAATCTCTGGCTTTCAGCACTGCAATAACTGACTCATCACCCTACGAGCTGAGGCGAGCCCAGGAGATTGATGCTGAGGTTGGGCCCAAAGGAAGTGATGAAGCAGTGGATCTGTTGTGTGATCTCCACAACACCACTTCAAACATGGGCCTGTGTGTCATGTATAACAGTTCGGACTGCGTCGCAATGCATATTTTCAAACATTTAAAGGTATGTTCAGTGGTGCGTCAGAGGATTTTGGCTACCAACATGTTCTTGTTAAGATTCGTTATAAGTCTTAATTCATAGTTTTTGGTCTTGTTTAAAATAGGACAAACAGAAATATTATTGTGTTTAAAAAATATGATTATATGTAGAGAAAAAACAGATAGTGTTGGCATGGCGAACACAATTCTTGGGCTTGAGGTTCAACATACAAAAACATAAGACTGTAATTTCTCAGCCTGGGATCAGGCTGGCGATAAACGCACTTTCCTGTCGTTTCTCCTTAATGGAGATTCCCTGAGCACTGATTTTAAAATTGAAATTAAGTTATTGAGAAATACAAATGCATATTTGACGTGTATAACCACGCCTCTCTGGTGGTTTCGAAGAATCCCTTTTTAAACCGTGGCATCTAAACCGTCGCCACTCGTTTCAGCTCTACTTCATAAAGAGACCGAAAAGTCGCGTGTATTTCTAATAAGCCGTCGATTATTAGACGTGTTATTTGAGAAACGCAAAATACGACTAACAAGACGTTTTTACTTGGATTCCTCAAGTATTCTTGACTACATTTGGTGGCAGTTCAGTGTAAACTGAACATATTTCCCCTTCATTTACAATAGAAACGTCTGTTGAGAATTCACCCCACATTGTATTTTTCTTTTAATTTTCTGTGCGAAAGTTAAATCAATACAAAATAAATCATAAACATCGATACCTCCTATAGCTTGCATGAATAAAAAGGGAAGTATAACCCTCCTATGCAGCAAGCGTTGGTGGTATAGTGGTTAGCATAGCTGCCTTCCAAGCAGTTGACCCGGGTTCGATTCCCGGCCAACGCAGGATTTTTATTTTTCATTAAAAGGTCGTCAGCACATTTTGTTGTTTATTTATATTCTATCCTTAAATAAATACTATCGACATCAAGGCTTCACGTAACAGAAACACCTCCAATAGTCATAACAAAAGCACATAAAGTACATGTCAGGAACTACGATTGAGCTAATGAAAACGAGTAGGGATTTGATAACTAATTAATTCATTTAGTAACGTTGTAGGTTTTATCACTGCTTTTCAACCTAACTTTAGTTGTAGGTTTTATCACTGCTTTTCAACAATGTAAGAAGATCACAATAAAATTGTTCAAAAATAATGTTCAACTCGTCCCACAGCCCAAAACAAGCAAATTGAAAACAGGGTCAATATAATAAACTGAGCTGTCTAACCGGCCCAGCTCAAACTCTAGCTTTATTATCTGCTGATATAAACATTGTGAAAGTATGTTGTAAAATACCACTCTGCTTTGTTTACAGAGTAAGATAACATCTGTGCCTGTAAGAGCAATTTGTTCAGATGAACCCATCTCCGAGGGATACGCTCTGGATTCCGTTGGCAAACATGGCCTTTGTAAGTTTGTGAACATTCTTTTTAAATACTTTTTCTGGGTGGTTGAAGGTGAATTCAGTAAATCAGTGTTTGTTTCCTACAGCTTTAGAGGTTGGGCCTCAACCCAATGGTGTGGTCAGAGCCGATAATTTCAACGTGATTACGGAGGCATTTAATCACATAATAGAATGGCTGCAGCAGTTCAATTCAGGTTCGAAACAAATACAAACACACACCAAGTTCTTGGCACAAGAGTCACAAGAGGAAATTTAATTATTATTTTATAATGGCTTTAAACTGTGTGCCTTTGTTTTACTTAAATAATGACGAAACAAAAAAATCTGTTCTTTGTCCACAGGTGCTACTTTTGAAGGTGGGGTGGAAGACGTGTATAAGATGACAGAAAAAGTTGACTATCCACGCGATCTTAATACAAATGAAATTACTGCTGCCGTACACCCCCAGTTGCAGGTACAGTACAGAATATTTTGTAATGACCTGAGATCATTCCTGTCATATTCAGTTTCAGTCGACAATAGTTGTTAGAATGCAGTTAATCATCAAATACAACCTAAACTCCAGCCAAAAAAACAAAAACAAAAAAAAACATTGACCAAGGAGTTCCAGTTGGACATAAAAACATGAAATGTCATATCTACCTTCACACACACGTCCCCAGTGCCTCCTTGACAGTGGTCTCTTGTCTTCCGTCAGGATAATGACTTCAAGCTCCTCCGAACGGGTGACCCCATTTTTCTGTCATTCGATGGTGAGACTCTGAGGCACAAAGGAAGAGAACTCTACCCTTTCTTTGTCAATGAATGTGCCTACTATGAGAAGAAAGTAGCCTTCATTCTGGGAGAAAAGGTCACCGTGGCCTTTCCATCTATATCTGTGACGAAGAACTGAAGAAGATTAAGATCATCAATACTTAATGTAAAAACTCTGTATGATTCTTTGAAATACCTCAAATGACTGATGACTTGAAACATAAAACTGTGACAGTGTAATGGAGGAGCAGTGATGCCAAATAATACTGAGAAGCAGTTTTTATTTAAATCCTCAAGTACTGATTACTGTTGTGGTTACTTTTGATGATGGGAATTATATTATCATTTCTTTTATTTTGCAAAGATCAATTTAAACAAAAAGACACATTTCTAATCCCAAATATCAACAGGTAAGATAGATATAAAAGTTTTGATTTTACTGTACTAATAATTTTAATAAATACAGTTAAAAACAACTTGCTATGTCATTTTTATATATTTGAATGACTTAATATTAAGCTCTAAACAAAATCACAATGCATTCATAGATATTTACTTATAAATAAGTGTGAAAACGCAAAGTGGTTGTTTACATTTTTAGTAAATAACATTTAATCCACACATACCACAGATAGAAACAAACCATTTCCACAGGAGTTTTAAATCTCAAATTAGAAGGCATTTGTAGTAAAAACTACACTTTACGAAAAGGCAAAAATCAAAGAGAAATATAAAATATATTGTGTAACTTTTCTCATGCATTGGTAGAGAAGAATAATCTTAAATATGAAGGTTTTTTGTCACAGTGCATCTTTACCATTGATTTAAGAGCAATTTGCTAAGCAGCTTTGAAAGCAAGGTGGCAATTCAAAAGAAGGCAAACAGGTTTCACTACACTACAACACAGTTTAAACCTACGTATAACAATGAAATACTCCCCATGTCTAGGTGGGTGTTGAAATGTACTTGTTCTGGTTAAGAAGTAAGAGAAAGTTTAAAAACCCAAAGTAAAATAGAAAACTCAGATAAGACGTCCATGTAAATAACCTTTTAGGACATTTTGCAGTCATATAAACAAAATTAGTCTCTCTTTCTTTTTTTAAATAATAAGGACGTGTATGGACATCCTCAGACAGCCGTGTTCCTCTACAGTTACACACACAAATCTGTCTCTAAGTAAAATTCCTCCAGAAGAACTATGACCAGGAATAAGAAGTTTTATCTGGAAGAATGTGTTTTTCCAGTTGCCAGATACTTTTTTGGCACCAAATATAATGCATTTAGGTCAAAGCTTATGATATGCTGTAGCAGAACTTACAAAAACTATGATTTTACTCTCAACTGATTTCAACATTTTAGATACAGGTGTTTATTTAGTTGTCTTGCTAAAATACATTCATTATATTTTAGTTAAAAATGTTTTGTACATTACTGCTACCTGGTGGACTAGAGGGGAATAGCTTTTATCCACTTCAAACTCGGATCAAACCAATCTAGATCTTTACTGGTCTCACCATGACCCACACAACCATAGATTCATCAGAATCCCTTTGAAAGAAAACTTTAACCCTACAATTCCTGGTTAGCCTGAAGTGAAAACAAACCTGTTTTATGCGACTCTATACGCGATTATTCGGGTGTAGTTTTTGCGGTGACTCTTGGCTGCCCATAGGAAGAGAGCAGCTGCCATCATCTGCAGAGGGAAGGAGATGAGGGCGAGGTAGAGGGACCAGCCCAGAGAGCTCTCCACTCCCCCTGGTGGTTTAGAATATTGGTGGAGCAAATCCACACCAGCTAGGAAACAGCTGACTGTTCCCAGTGAACATAGACCTGAAAATAATAAAAGAGGACAAAAAGAGCACCTGGTCAAAACTGCAGCTGGATGCCTTTGGTTTTTTTATTGGACCTATAACCAAAAGATAATAAATCGTGTGGCATTTCTATGCACAAAGACATTCAGTCAACAAAATAAGGAAGGGACATCACCTCTTTATGCATTTCAAAGAACAAACATTTACTCAACATTCTTCCAAAAAAAACCCCGTGCTTATCATTGTTTGTTAACACTGACTGTAAACAGATCAAACGCTCAGCCATTAACTAACACTGTTGGAGCAAGGACATTTATTGTGGGTTACAATTAACACTGTCTTGCCTGAGGTAATGTTACACCTGGAAGACAAAGGAAATCCCAGAGAGCTAAATTGTTAACCATACAACCTTCATTTATGATTTGGCTCAGAAAAAAAACCTGAAGCTGAAGCATTTAAGGACAATTGAATTACTTACTCAAAAACAAACAGCAGTTACACATGCTATACTTTTTATGAATATACATTTTATATATATATATATATATATATATATATAAAAGAGTGGGATTGTGGGCTGTCTTCACAATGAACACATCTGCAGAAGATCTGCAGAGTTTGGTGGTTGTTGTTGTTAAGACAAGAGAAAACAAACCCCAGCTCATTTGCTTTTCAAATGTACATATTAGGTAAATACACCAACTGACATGGATATGTATGTTTGTAAACCCTCATTGTGATGGCTGATATTTCAATTAATGTCCACACATTGTGTTGCTCAGTTTTATATTGTAGAGAAACATAGGTCAAAACCCCATGGTTGAACAATCTTAACTTAAATCAAATTATGGTTAAATAAATAAATAAATACAATTTCATTCAAACAAGAAACATATTTTCACTCACCTGCAAGAAGGTGAAGCACTCCCACGCCAAAGGTGGGAGTGAAGCTGCGACACAGGCAGGCACAGACCCCCACCAGGCCGCTGAGGAACACTAAGGCCAGAGATACCAAAGGCAGAAGAAACTGGGATCTCCACAGATCTGCAGAAACCAAACACATGATAACAGTCCAACAACACTTCACACTGTTGGAGAAAAATGTCTGAGAATGTCTGCATGTTTGAGAAAAGGCAACATTTAATACATGAAACAGCTTATTAGATACAGCAGACTTACATGTTCTCAAAAGATCTTCATTGTTCTGGGTTGCATCATACTTGTACTTGGGGATGAACTGCTGAGGAAGAGTGAAGCTCACACACTGAGTCTCCAGTTTGGGATCTAAAGACATGTGAGTTGTGATTATATTCAACTGCTTCAGCAACAACAGAAAACTGCAAAAATGGTATCAGCAAGTCATGCACACAAACTCATGCACTCAAATGAATTGCTATTGATGAATCTCTAGTCAGTCACTCTAGAAGTAGAGTGAAGTGATACACCTCCAACAACATTAGAACAATGTTTAAATTCAATTAAAGAAATGAAATGCCTTTTTCCTGAAGTGGCCCCGACATTAGAAAATCATACCTGGTTCTTTGTACCACGGTGACTCGCTGGGTACCTGAATGCACCTCCACCACAGGCCAAGAGTGCCGTTAAGCACGTACATGGACTCACTGTAAGTCTTCTCATCGAACTCTCCATTAATGAAGTCTTCTCTCAGCTTGGACACGTTGCTGCCGTCTTGTTTAATCGGTGGCCCGCTGTACTGGTACCAGTGCTGAGTGCCCACGGCCACAGACAAGTACACTGTGGCCAAAAGACTCAGCACTGAACCGATGACCAGAGCTGTGGCGTACCGATTATCAACCATGATGGACAGCAGAACAGCTCGGCTAAACAATATGACACTGAATTCTACTCTGACCAGACCAGTCTAATAATGGTGTTTCCGCTTTGTTTTCAGGCACCACAGCATGTCTGGTAACTTCTGCTCCCCTCCACTTTACCGTATTTGATTATTTACTTCAGTCCTGCATCCTGAGCCCCAGCCGGAGAAGCTCACAACCTATAACAAACAGACCACAGTGTTACACTGAAATTTTCCAAAAATATCTCCCACAGTCTGGGAATAAAAATACTTCATAACAGTAATCTTAATTCACAGGCATATATTAATATTAACAATTTCACCAGACTACTCAAAACACAAGGCAGCTTCCTTAGCTTTGAGGTTAGCATGTTATAGCTAGCTGAGGCTCATCGTCGCGGTATTTACTGCATACTGCTAAAACACATACATTTATGGAAACTTAAATGCATCCATCCAATGTTTTAATTTTACATACTCGCTAACCATATCGCGAAAAGAATGGAATAAAATAACCAAAACACCAGAAATGACAAAAGCTAACCTTTGTTTTATATGTATTGCCCCAGTAGGTGTGCTCTTCTTCTTGCGTCTGGCTACCTGTCAGTCAAGATCTTCACAGCCACCTACTGGAGCAAAACTAGCACCGCAGAAGCGTGAAATTAAAAAAAAACAAAAAGTTTTCCTCGTTTCTTAGAATACTCAAATATTGACTTTAATTCTAGAATTCTTAGAATAATTCTAATAATCAAAGAACCTGAATTCTGAATTTAAAGAGATAATAAAAAATGGTCAGAAATACTTACACTGACACAAAATGGAGAGCATGCTATGAGAATTCTGAACATACAACCTGGAGCTCTATGATTGTGAAAGATGTGACATGGTAGATATAAAAAATATAAAGGCATAGAATTAGAAACGATTAAAAAAAGTCAGTCAATCATTTTCTTCTTAAAATCTTAAAAATAGGCAAATAACCTTTAATATGTAATATGATTATTAAAATGAAAGACAAAGGATACACAGTGTTAGAACACAGTTTTTCCACACACACATACACACACAAAAAAAAATCAAAATACATTCAAAACACAAACTTTACCGTTGGCTCTTTAATCAATAAAAGTCCCATTTCAATATTGAAATCCAGTTGAGGTAGAGAAACCAAAAATTACTGACAGAGTAAAACACAACATTTAAGGAGTGCTTATTTAATTTTATACCACAATGATTTCTCTCATAACCCCAACATAATCCCCTTATCAAACAGGCTCCAGGACTGTTTGTAGTTTGGAAGGACTGTTGCATTTATGATTGGACTGTCTGTGAACTCCACAGTACATGGCCCTGAGCTGCATGGAGCGTTTTCCAGCTCCAGTACGGTCAAATTGTTTGGTACTGCAGTGCTGAGAAGGTGGGCCGGAACAAAAAGTGTCACCTGAGGCCCACGAGCCGGCCAGTAACGCCCCAAATTGAAGCCATTAATCCAGATCTGGCCCTGGAAAAAACACACATATTTGGAATTTAAGGCTTAATATATACTTTTTTATTACTATTATTTTACTTGTATGAACTCTGTTAGGAGAAATCATCCAATCACATAACACTGCAGAAACCGAGAGTGTTTAGCTAGAGTAACATCATAACCTAGATTTATAGAACATGCAAAATAAACAACAAAAAAAGGTCACATGCCTTTCTCCAGCTGGGCAGTTTGATGTAGGTGTCCTGTGGGAGGTCTGGGATGCCGTCAGGGATGATGAAGCTTCCTCTGTAAAAGGTTGGTAGAGAAAGAGCAGCTGGCTGAGGAGGGTCTTCTGGTGCAGCCCCATCTTCGTCGATGATTCCCTGGTTAATCGCCTCATCTATACTGAGACTATACATGGTCCAGTCTGTGAGCACGTACTCTCCGAGGGTCAGGTTAGTCACCAAGCCCTGTGATGCCGCACCAAAAAAATCAAATCAACATTTCACAGAAAAGAGAAAAGAAATCAGAAAATTGTCATTAGCCGAATCTGAAAATAATGCAACCTTGAAGTCGTTGATGTCTTTTCCATAGTTGATTCGTCCCATGTTCTCCACCAGAATGTCCAGCTGACTGCCGGCGTTCCCAGTCACATTAATGGACAGGACTTTGTTTCTTTCTAGAATTCCTACGGCCACCTGTAGAGAAAAAAACAAAAACAAATATATATTCTATCGGTGGACTGGACTTAAGAGTGGAGACACAGATCAGAATAATATGAGACATAAAGTAACGGGCAGTTCTGACATTTCTAATTAATCTTTTTCAAAGACTTTGCAAACTCAAAATAAACCCACGAGTGGGACCAAACACGCATTTAACGCAAACTCACCCCATTTATAGACACATAAGCTCTATCATGAACTCCATTCAGAGGGGATGAGAGTGGAATCGGTGTGATACAGGCAAGAGGTAGAAATGTTCTGTACAGCACAAATCCAAAGGCCTAATCAGCAGCAAGGTGGGAATATAAACAATATAGTCATGCAAATTGTTTGAAATATACATTTTTATGAAGTTAAAAATATAATAGTAAGAAAAACATAAAACAATACCTGGTTCAAATCAAGAAATGTCAGAGGATACTTGCTTTTGACCGGACCAGACAGAGACAGTTTATCCAAGGCATCTGTTATTGTCTGGAGCTGCAGGGGAACAGAGTCAGCTTCTTTATTATTATTATTATTAATAATAATAAATAATCAAGTAAATAACAGAATAACAATAAAGAAGGAAAAAGATTAATATCCTAAAATGCAGACAATGAGCAAATAAGCCTCTACCTTCTTCATGGTCACAGAACCATATGCATATTTTGGAGTGGATGGTGGCATTGGTCCCTCTGGTATCTTCCGGTACTGTTATGTCATAAAGAAAGATGTGGTGATTTACTTTATGCTCTGTGGTGAACTGAAGCGACCATAGACATGGGAGTCCACAGAAGAACATGTACCTTTTTAATCACTTCTCTGACGGCGTAGTACTTCTCTGTGAGGTCTCCTGCTTCTGAGAGGGGAGCATTGAAGTCGTAGCTGGTGGGCTGTGGTGCGTAAGGTGTATTCGCACCTGAGGGTTTGATAAGGCCAATTTGAGAACATTCAGTTTTGTCATTGTTTACATAGCTGAGCTGAGCTAAACAAGTTGTGCAAGGGAACTCACCGTTCCAGTATCCAAAAGTTGTTCCTCCTATAAACATGTACCTTTGAAGATAAACAGTCCAGTTATTAACACAGAATATGACACGCCTCATTGTCAGGATGTCATACTGTTATACAGGATGACATTTGTTTGTTTTTTCATGGGCTGGTGAGGTTACAGTACAAGCTGTACTAATACACACACACACAAACATATCTGCCCTGTACTTTACACATTGGTCTATTAGCACTAACATGTTGACGTTTGCTCCCATGGCCAGAATTGTGTTCAGTGACTTGGTCAGTTGACTGGTGGCAACTACAGAGTGAGGCCAGCCCCAGTGATCCAGCCAGCCAGTGTAGAATTCAGAGTTGATCTAAAAAAATGGCAGAAACATCAATTATCAAAAATATGACTCATGATTAATCATGACTAATTGTGATTATAATGAATCATGATTAATGGAGATAAATCAGCATTCCTAAATATGACAAAAAACAGTCTGTATATTCCTGGAACAGAAAGACAAAAAACAACAGGTTTGTATGTGTTTTTTCAGCTTCAGGTGCTTTCCCCCCCAGACTGTGTGTTGGAGCTATGATAAGTGAATGGACGGTGGAATTATTGGATGCACAGTCCATGCATTAAAATGCATGACACATTGGATTACTTTCACAAATGAATTACAGAGATCCACACAGTCATTTAAACAGCCCTAACTGTAAGAGTGTCTCCCTCTCTCAAGAATTTGAATACTCACCAGAGGTCCATGAGGTTCAGCGTATCTCTGTACTGCAAAGCCAGCGGAGATATTTCCATCTGGAAGGGAAAAAAAATATGGGCATGTATCACTGTCCAAGGACTATCAAGGAATTACATCTGGAGTGAAAGGGTTTTTTAGTGAAATACATACTTGGCCCAAAGTCCACGGTGGCATAGACATCCTGTATTGTTCCACATTTGAGGTAGCTTATGCCGCCGCCGTCTGTGGTGAACAGCACCACATCATTTCCAAGGTAGGACCTGAACAGTTTGGTCAGGTGTCGCAGATAGTTGTAATCACAAGCAAAGTAACTGCCGTATTCATTCTCTACCTGTCATTTTAAGACGTATTAGAAGAAAGGGATTATTTTCTACATGTGTAAAAAAAATGCTCCAGTTCTGCAGAAACAACAGCTCACCTGTACAGAGATGATGGGACCACCACTCTGATACAGATACGGTTTGACCCTGGGCAACAACTTCCCCATCCACCTGTCCACTGCTGCGAGGTAATCTGAAAAACACAAGTGTGTTTTAGAAGTTTGTGTCATATAGAAATATGAGAAAACTACAGTACTCTGTTGGACTTCTATTATCACCTGGATCTGAGGACCGCAGTACAATGTTTTTCTTCTTGAGAAGCCAGGCAGGCAGGCCTCCCTGCCCAACAATATTAGGACAAACAATAACACCATCTTCTATTTTTGTTTGATTGTAAATGTTGTAATATATGCAAATCAAAAAAATACAAACATGGCAATTACAAGGAAACAGACACAAAGCAAAAAAAATGATTTTTATCCATAGCCACACTAACTCTTCAAACATGGGAAGAGAAGAAACGACTGAATCCTTGTAACACAGACACTGTTCGAAACAATTTTTTTTATCATAGTGCCGAACTTACCATGTCCCACTCACTGCACACATAAGGTCCAGGCCGAAGGATGACAAGTAGACCAATGTCATTGGCCAGCTGAAGGAAATGTTCGAAATCCCTGTCTCCTTCAAAATTGTAAACTCCAGGTGACTCCTCATGAAAGTTCCATGGAATGTACCTTTAAGTTGAACAAATTGTCAGTATCACATAAAAAAAGGGATTTCCCTAAAATGCTCATGTTGTAAGTGTTGACATTTTGACACACACACTATGAAGGTTGCATGGCTGAAAACACGAGGAACAAAGTCATGACTTGGAAAATAAAAAAAAAGATAAACCTACGTCTGGATGGCATTCAATCCCGCCATGTACATCTTCAACAGTCGATCTTTCCAGTAGATCCTAGGAATCCTGAAGTAATGGATGCTTCCGGATATGTAACGAAAAACGTCCCCATCTTTCCGAAAGCAGTCATTCTGGTAATCGATGCTGAATGAGCGGGATACACTTAGCTAAATAATAATAAAAAAAACAAAACACAAAAAACAACACGTCAGCGTTTATACATTGTCATATTGTGTCAGACAGCTGACATTTCAGCTGATCACGGGACGTGTCACACCTAAATGTGGTGTGGTGAGTGTCTGTTGTAGGCTGTGAATATTTTGGGTAACTGTTTTTTTAATTTGTCTGCCAGTCTAATTGCCTACTTTTGAACCAATTTGGATAACACAGATTACAAGTCCAGCACCCACACATTTGTGTAGATATTTCACATAAAATGTCTGTTTCATCACATATTTTATGGTAAGTATCAAAGTGAATATATTTAAATAAAAATACTGAAGGCAGACAGTTTAAAAACTATGATAAATATCGTGATCTTTGTAATATTCGTTTCTTTGTTTCCTTAAAATAACCACTAACGCTACATCCTGAAAATTTAGTTTCATCTTTCGTTTCATTTTAATGTTCTTTATTAGAAAGTACCAAAGGCACTTGTCGTTTTAATGTGTATTTGGCTACCTCTCCATTAGTTAATACTACGCCGATACTACGTTTGAAACATCATTCAAGTGACTTTCGGGGGAATTTGGATTGAAATACATCAGTGGCTGCATGTACTACACCTGCCACACTGATTTGAAGAAAATATAATGTAAAGCTCAGCAGTACTCACTGATTGTCCAAACAGCAGCAGCAATGGTAGCAACAGCAGTATTGTGTTTCCAGCTCTGAGCAGACACATGTTGAAGCTCCTCCGTGCGGCATGTACTCTGGTTTCAGGAACAGAGTCTAACTAATGTTGTTTTTTTCTCATATGTGACACTGCTACCGGTACACTGTTATCCACAGAACTTCCGTACGGTGTTTGGGTTACGGAAGTGAAGTCATGTGATTTCTTCACATTGTCGCGTAGGGTCAATTTTCCATCGCTAGGTGTCAGTATTGAAAAGCGTCGGTTTAAAACGTATATACAAACAGAACATTGATATACTGAACATTACATTACATTTAGCAGACGTGTTCATCCAAAGCGAATTACAATTTGGGGAATATATACAGATACAGAATCTACTTTTTAACTCCAATTTTACACTTAGCACTTAGTGGAAAGTTTTACTATAGTTTGATCTGGTTTCCTTGTCTTCGATACCTTCGTTTGAAAGGTATTTTGTTTGAATTTAAAAAAGCTATCAGTTCCTTGTTAGTTTAGACACTACTCGTACACATTATATTTAGCTGAGGGCTTATCATTGTTATCGTCGTTGTAGTGCACATACGCAAAAAAACACCCGTTAAACTTTATCGTATTAGTTATTTAAGAATACGGTAATAATACCCAAAGTCAGTCTATAACTAAAACGTACGCATGCATTTTCTCTTCCAAGCCGAAAGAGGGTGATATTGCCCTCATATAGTTGTTTACTTCCGGTTAGCATAGGCCACACGTGGGTAAAGGAGTTCTTCGGAGTACAGCGTTGCTATCACTCGGCTGCCATGTCGAAAAGAAAAAGAGAAAAATTGCATCACTCGCAACAGCCCACATGTCGAAAAGAAAAAGAGAAAAATTGGATGAAAAGGCCGTCTCTGAAGCAGGAGACATGGAGACAGATAAAGTCCAGGATCCTCCGCCGGAGACCAGACGGACTCGCAGCGGCCGCACTGTGCGTCCTCCTGTAGCACAGTTGGAATCTAAGAAACCGGCGACGACTTCCACCCGAAGAACCAGGAGGTCTGTGCTCCAGGAACTGCCTGTAGAGCAGGAGAACACCGACAAGCCTGAGCAAAAACTCGAAATCTGTCCTGAGGAGAATTCGGAGATTTCCAGTGAACCGGTGCCAGAGCAGACTGAGAGAATTGAGAGTACTGACGCTGGGGACGTTGATCAGTCCAGTTCACCAGATCCATCTGCACCAGCATCTAGGGATACCGCAGAAAAGGTGCCAGGAAAGGATAAACCACGTCTGGGTCAAAGTGCGAAACAGAATCCAGTTATTCCACTGGGAAAGCCAAAGTCAGGAAGAGTGTGGAAGAACCGCAACAAGCAGAGGTGAAGAAAACAATCCAGCGGTCAATGTTTCTGTTTGTATCCCATCTGTTTCATTTACAGGTTTAATGAAAAGCAATATTTTGGCTTACGCTACTGTCAGTAGCATTTGGGCTTTAGTAGCAAATGCTGGTGAAGTTGGGCGTTGACCTTAAATTTCCACCACTTCTAATTTCGCGTCATTAATGTTAATACTAAACAACTGTATGGTAAACTACTGGGTCTCAACTTATTTTACCCAGCATCCATGATTGCATGGGTTGTCAACAACCCCATTGTCTCAGGTTGGTTACTGAACCTAGTTTTTCAGTATTTAAAATGCTGCTAAAATATACGTAGATCATCAACAGCCATGTGTAAAAGAAAGACAATAAATAAACCCTTGATGTTTAATCACATCGCCTAATTGGTCCGTGATGAGTTAAGTCGGATTAAAAAGGGCATGTTGGCACAGAGGTAATACTGTATGATGGGCACACATAGTTAATGTGTTGTTTATTTATTGCTGCTCTGCAGGTTCTCTGCCCTGCTGAGAGATAAGCCACTGTGCTCCTCCTGGGACAAGAAAATGAAGGCCAAGCAAGAGAAGCAGCTGGTGAAACAGTTTGCTTTGCAGCTGACGGAGGAGAAAGCAAAACAGAAGGAGGTGAGTAAAATTTATTCAAACAAAAAAAAATCATGAAACACTATGGTGAGTCAGGCCTTTGATATGTACGATTTTTCTTTAACAGGAAAAGAGAAAGCGGAGAGAAGACAACTTAAAACGGCGAGCAGAGAACGAACGTAAAGCAGAAATTGTGCAAGTGGTACGAGAACTCTGTCCTACAAATGAATTTACCCAAGGCAGTGTTTTTACTTCTGAATCGGATCTAAACTTCAGGATTGTAAAAATAGATTATTTTCATTATCAAATTATTATTTGGTGAAAAGGGTTTAAAAAAGGCTATTTGTTTTTATTGTACAACCAAATGTAGACTTTAACTGTCAAAATGAAGTTTTTACTTTTGTAAAAGTAAAAGAACACTGTTGATTTTGAACAAACCTAAATATATTGGACTGAGTCAGTGGTGACATTACATTAAAATAAGAGGCTAACAGAGTTTGTCAACAGTCTTGGCTGATTGAATTTCTTTAAATCACAGTTTCTACAAAACCAACTGTGATATCAAAGTCAAAAATATCCATCCACCAAACACTGCGGTATAAACAAGCATCACATAGATTTAAAAACAGCAATGTAAATGTGCAGAATCTCGAGTAACGCAATCACTTGTTTGTTTTTCTCCCTGTCTGTCGCCCTTTTCTGTCACAGATCAAAAACACAACAAAGATCAAGAGGATGAAGAAGAAACAGCTGAGGAAGATCGAGAAGAGAGACACGCTGGCTATGCTGCAGAAGACACAGAAGCAGAACTCCAAAACCAAAGGGCAAAAAAGCAACACTGGCAAAGAGCTGACGTGAAGACTGAAAATAAACACATCTGTACACGAAAAAGTCTGAATATATTATGCCTTAATTTGTGGTTTTCAGCTGTAACAGTCAGGGATGATTGAGAATTTTGTTGTAAAACCAGGATTAACGACCAAAAGTTATATGTTTTGTAATTCAAGAGTTTGTGTGTCAGTAAAACAACACGTTTCACCAACTTTATTTCACTGCTTTTACTCACAAAAACACAACTTTCAGAAGAGATGACAGAGGGATGGATAACAAAGAGGTTAAAAATCAACTGCTTTGTGGTGTATTATAGACGATGAACAACAGCAACCTGGTGGAGTACAAACAAGGATTTGTGTCTTTGCTATACAGTTCAAATAGGTTGTGAGGAAGCTGGTAATAAAAAGTAAAAACGAGCAAAATTCGATCTGCTGATCTGGATACCTATCTTTCCTGGTGCTTAACACATCACATGGGATTCCAACTGTAATGCACTCTGATCACAAATCTGATCCTGTGACCAAAGGCTGCCCCAGAGTAGTTAGGAAATAGAGGAGTAATGTGTTCTACACTTCAAATTTAAAAATGTTGACCTGACAACCAAACTATATCCAATGATATTGTTGATACTACAGGAGTTAATATTTCTAGGATTTTTATTTTTTGAATAAAAAACAAAAAAGAAATATCAATTTGGTTATATTTAAATTTGACACAATGATTAGACTACACACTGGTAATTACAATTATAGCAAATACTAACAAACATAGAGAAGACGTGATGGCAGTTTAGATACAACCACTGACACTGAACACACTAAGGCACCTTGTGACGTCAAAACACTGATGTTATACTGAGGTAACTCCCATCCAAACTGTATCAAAGTTTTTTTTTCTTTGCAATTCCATAATCGACATCTTGCGAATACTGAAACATACCGAACTGTTCTTAAAGGTCTGTGAAAGCTGAACGGAGGATTGATGAGCATTTGTAAAAGAAAACGAAATCTTAAATAAATAACACTGCAACACAAAGAGGTCAGTGGAGACGGCATCCGCACAACTTTGCAGCCCTTGTCAAAAGGACAAGACTGCTCTAATACCTGCTTTGGTAAATTATCAGGTGACACTTGGGTCACTCCTCTCGTGTACTTTGGACCATAGAGTACTTCTTGCAGGGACTCTTGAGGCAGGCAGGAGGCCAGGTGATGGGCCAGCTGTAGGAGCATGGTATGGCCGTCTGAACGTTCCTCTCCAGGAAGTTGAACAGAGGATTCCACCAGGTGTTGGTGAGGTAGTTGTTGGGCGAGCATTTAAGAGTCTGTCAAGAGAAAGAAGCGTTCCTTTAAAACACTGTTGCAAGTAATACAAATGTTTAGTGCATGAAATCCGTCTGAGGACCTTGCGATACAACATGTAGCTGTTACAATTTAATATAAAAAATTATATATATTTCAACATTTATTATAAGCTACATCAACAGTCCACTCACTTTATGACCATTAGATGGAGCTCTTCAAAGTTCTTTAAAATGCTTTATATTACAGGTTTGGGGAAATTTTATCCAGAAGCAGTAGAAGTACCAGAAGAAGTAAAGTATGCAGTGTTTTTTCCTTTGAACATGATTACTTGGTTTTGACTAACACACACACACACACACAAAACCTCTTAATGCAATGTTCAGATAAATAGGGTGTCCTCCACTGCCTCTGAGTCAAACCAGTTATTTAACAGTTGTGTGGCTCATGTGCGGGTCTTTCTCGTACCTGTAAGTTTGCCATGGTGTGGTACCACCAGAACAGTCGGGAGGTGATGAAATAGGCCACAACCACATCCACACTGTAGTGCTCATGAGCCACCAGGATGCACACCACACCCACGGCACTCAGCAGCCAGCACATCAGATGGTACCACCAGAACGATCGTGGGGAGTCTGGAGGGAGACGGGAGAAAAGGCAACTCAACGGCAATGTTTATCTGGGAATATCAGCTGCTGTTGGATCATTTGGAGAACATGTGGAGAACAGAGTGGGCTCCTGAGTGGGAAAACAATAAATCTCTGTTTTCACTGCTAACTTTTTGAGGAGCATCTCACACACGGGAGTGTTGAGTAGCAAACATTAAGGGCAATAAAACAAAGAAGCAGTAAAGTATGAAGTAATTTTCCTCCTCGGATGTCCTTGAGTGGCGTGTGGGATGAGAATGGAAACACACAGTATGATTCATATATTATTCATGACAGCTTTCATTGAGTGACTCCACTTGGAGCAAACAGATTTGGCTGTGAGTACTCACACTCCTTGATGAAAAGATAAGTGAGGGTGAGCATCACGGTGTGTCCACTGTACAGAAAGTCTCCACACAACAGATGGGAGTTTGTGATGGAAAGACCGCCCCCTGAAATCAGCTGCAGGATACGCTGCATTTTAGCATGAGCGTCTCCGTGGAGCTGATGGAGAGCAGAGATTATATGTTGGAGAAAGAGAGAAAAACACTGCATTAGAGCAAAAAAACCCAAAAAAACAACCCAAAACATCCAATCTGTATCTGCTTCTTTTGTTCTGACCAGATACACTTTTGACATTATAAATGATGTTGCAGTGGACATTACTGAGCCTTGGAAACAAGCTGTCTGAAACACTGTCTGACTGAAAACCATTCCTCATAATTTGGGTAAAAAGCTTACTGTTATCTTTCCTTGACTAAATGAATTACATCACTTTTATAGTCTCATCTTTTGATGTCACTGAGGTCTTTAGTTCACACCCACTGACAATAACTCATAAGGCACAAGTAGTCCAAGTGCTTTTTAAACACCAGCTAAATCCTGGAAATGAAACCAATGCTCTTTTGCTGAGCTCAGTACGTCAGCACCTTCCTATGTTCTTATATTTTATAATAAGCACTGATGGAGTTCAGAGTCATTTTCTAAAATTAGGTCTTTAACAGACAAAATAACCTTTTTCAGAGCAGGCATAAAAAAGACTGGTGAAAAACTGACATCTTTTTTTTGACTTGTGAATGCTGCTCACCTTGGGAGCACAGGTCATGTGCATGCCAGGTACAGGCAAGGTTGTGATGTACATGGTGACACAGCGGTACAGATACAGTGTGCCAATGAGGAAGAAGAAGCGTCTGAGTGCAATGGACCTGAAAGTGGAAAACGTCAGAGCAGTACCTGAGCAAGTATAAAATATTCTGTTCTATTTCATTTATTTCAAAGATGTACAAACATTAAGATTTATATCAACAAAGTTCTGAAGACTTTCTACTGATTCTTTCTTTATGTAGTACAGTATTAACATCTCTCCGCAGCCAATGTCCAAATAATTACAGCCATGCATATGTAACATTATACCCCAGATATAAGACCAGGCCTGTTCTTTTGAAAAGCTCCTTTTAATCCTGCCAGCTCTCTACTAATAAACATCTCCACATCTGAAATGTTCAACATCCTGACATTTAGGCACCATCTTACTTTTCCTTTTGTTGCTCCCTTGTTGTAGGATACAGCCCACAACAACCACTCTGCCCAGGTTAAAGCTACTTCTCCACAAGTGGCTTCCAGGTGTCCAGTTTGACTTCTTCCACTCCTTGCATCATCATCATCTTTTCATCTGACTCTTCTTTCTCCTGCAGCCTCTCTGGGTTATTTTTCATCTGCTCCCTACTCTCACCACAGATTGCAATTTCCATCGCCGCTGTAAACAAAATGAAGCTCAGAGCTAATCCCTGATGTGCTATTGCTTTGCCAAATTGAGTTTTGCTTATTAGCAAACATTATAGTTTGGAGGTCTGCACAACAGATCATCCACCCAATACCATTTCTTTTCTTAATCCTCCCTCTTAATCTCTCACTCACAACATAAGAGACAATGTCCTCAGGTCCATTTAATCAACAGCTACATCCATTTTAAAAACAGTTTTGTCTACATAATACTACATACATTTTAAAACAACTTTGTGAGTATTGTTGTAGTAAAACCAGTGTAATCGTTATTAATTACAACAATTTAAATATAATTTTTAATTGCCTGTTAAGAGAAAAAGACTTTTGGCTCTTACTTGTATCTAAAGAAAAACAACTGGATCATCCAAATACCCAGCAGCACCATGCCGTTGATCTCTGTCACTGTGAATGCCCATTTGACCCGGTCGATGTAGTCAAAAAACTTATCAGGGAGAGGTGGGCTGCTTTCCTTGGGAGGGACCCTCTCGTGCACTACAGTGATGACAACTGTGGTAAGCACCAAGTTGAAGCCGGCATAAAAGAAAGCAATTATCGTCTTCCACCATTCCATGGGCAGTCGGTTGATCTTGGAGTCTGGCACAGAAATCTTTACGTAGTCATTATGCCTCCCAATGCCTTTGCGGAAGCCCCTCTTGTTTTCGTCCACTGCTGAATTGTGAACAGGGCATGCTTTACCACTGGTAGGCACAGTGCCCCCCTCCATCCCAGGGTTTGGATCTTCAGCGATAGGCTCCCTCGCATCCACAAGCTGCTGTGATGCCATTGGTGTTTGTACTGTCCATCCACAGGCAATGATCCTTTAAGTGGACGCTCTGCACGTGCCAAGGTGGGAAACAAACAATTAAGAATGAGGTTTTTTTTGAAAAAAGACAACATACTTTGGTTATATTTAAATATATAAAATAAAAGTAAAGGAGTGCTGCTTGAATGCAAGGAGATCCAGATAATAAAATAATTATAATTAATAATTTTATCAGTATTTACGAGTGTTCATGGTAATCCAACTGTTTTGACAAAGGTATGAAATTCGGCACACTTAAATCACTGAACAGGGCTTAAATCAATAAACAGGGCACTACAACTGTATTAACAGCACCACTAAGGGAAAGTGAACTACTTGTCATTGTGACACAGCACACCACTGCACACAGCCAAATGTGACCTCTGCTTTTAACCCATCACCAAAGTGAACAGTGGGCAGCTTTTTAAGCACTCGGGGAGCAGTGTGTGGGCACGGTGCCATGCTCAGAGCACCACTGAGGGTAACTTGGCAGCTGGTGGACTTGAACGTGAAGCCTTCTTTAACCACTAAGCCACCACTGACCCTATTAGTGTATGTGAGGCTGATACAGCTTTGAAATTGAAATTCAAAAACAATAAAGGCCATCGTGGATATATATACAGAATGGAATGTTTACTTAGAGCAAGCACCCAGGCTGGCACCCAGACAACAGAGGGGATAGAAATAGAGAAGCATGGACTCAAGGGAGATGCTGAAAGCATCAGTTTCCTCAAATTGCTTTTTGCAAGAAGAAACATCGTTACAGTGGACGGTGGCTTACAGTAGCATGATCTCTGACTTGACATGACAACAACACCGAGTGTAGCAGACCTTAAAGGCCCATAAGGTGGATTAATATCAACTAACACGGTAAATAGAATCAAATGGAGCAGGCAAACAATATAAACCAGTTACAGTACAGCGCCACACCCCTTCTATTATCGGCTACAACTGCATCTTGTGGTGAGTCGTGTTCCATTCACCTCAGGCGTGTCTTCCTGGTTCAATATAATGTGTACACAATGAGCTAGAGCAAATGTTATAATGCTAATAAAAATCATAATCTTTTTTAGGTATTAATGATACTGAGTGGCTCAGTTTAAACATGTGAATTAAAGCAAGACCGTCTAACAGGCAGCAGGGAGACAGGCTGTGGTGATCATGACGTCTGGAGATGCATCTGGCTGCTGCTTAGGAAACGGCTAATGACAGGACACTGTAATTTACGGTAAATTGGAAAATGGACGTTCTTTCCACATTTTCTCAGCTCATTCTAATGCAACTGCACTGTCAGTGTAAGTGTTTCTTAAAAACATTGTTTATCATTAGCTCTGTGTGTCTTTTCCCTGTGTTTAACTGCTTTCAAAAACATCTACAAATGACTTTGTCTGTATATGAACATAAGGAGAGGCTCTAAAAATAGTCTCAGTAAACTCTGTCTGTGACTGAAAGTTAATGGTCTTTGCCTTCTTGTCACAGAACAGGATTTATAGCCATGTGAGCTTAGTAGTTACACTGCTTTGATTAAAAGCCTTTTTTCAGGGCAAATTTAGGGTCTATATGTGTGTGCATAAACCACATCATAGAGCAGAAAGCTCCAGAAAACAGAATGTATGTGGTGCGTGAAATATTATATATTTTTTCTTACTATGATCCACTTCAGCAGCAATGTCTGATGAAAAGAATGCATAAAACCTGGACAAATATTGACTCTTTGGCCATACCTGCTGCTGATATTTTAAGGATTCTTTTTCCCAGCTTATCTCAGAGTGACAGTCTGTACAAAAAGAGAAACGTTAGTTTTCCCACGTATTCTCCCCAACCGATCTGTGCTGTACATGGGAAACCAACAAAGTGCGTTCATTTCACTGATTTTCCACTTGCTCTCTAGTCCCTAGTGTGTATTTCACAAGTGTTTTCCCTTCAGTCAAAGCACCAGTGCCTGAAAGGGACGGGTGGTGATGGAAAACTGGAAGAAAAAAAATCCTATTCCACATGGTCACAGACTGTAATGGATAACTTGGCTGCCTCCACTCTCCTGAGCTATTTCAAGAGAAGCCACCCAGTTGCCCTGAAGACTGTATTTTACTCTCAGTGAACCAGTGCTTTGACTCAGTTCTGGGGCCTTCATAATAACATACTACTATTGCTGTCCACTCGCTCGTTTTCTTCTTTACATCACGTGGATTGTCTTCATCAAAGTGCAGGTTTAAAATAAATCAGGCCAGACATGACCCAGCCCTTTTGGAACTGACAGCACAGACACGACAGCCTATAAAATGTGCTTGCAATAAAACAAGTAAACTGCATTTTTGGGCCAAACGTTCAATTTGTGTTGCCTTAAGCTTGGATGTTTTTTTAAACACATGTTGAAAGTGTTACATGTGCTGCATATCTTACTTTCAGACTTTGACCCACATATTTTGTTTTACAGTAGATAAAAAAGGACCTCCATATTTTACAAGGATGTTTCTCCAAATTATAAAATAAATGTTACAAATTTGTTTTAATGAAGTAAATGTTATATTAGGGCATTGGTGTCAAACACAAGGCCTGGGAGTCAGATCCTGCCCGTGAAGTAATTCAAAGTGGCCATTGGCACAACCCAGACACAACTCTTATTGTAGTTAATGATAAATATGGATAGATCTACTTTACATTATTGATCCCAAGCTGGGAAATTACAGTTGCAGGTTTTGTAAAATTTCACAACTATTAGCCATGTTTAGTATGTACAGTCTTCCAAATATAACTATTCATACTAAGGGCAATGTTAAGACCGATGTAGTTAAAAAGGAAAGTGAAAACTATTTTGAGATTCCTGCCTTCAATTGTCGACTACTTGGTGTATTACAGTGTAACAACAAATACAGAAAAGAGTTTCAAAGTTTGGTTTCACCACAGTGACGTTCACTTCCTACGCATGAACCCCAACCACTGCCCCACACTTATTCATTGACCAACCCTGTTTATCACTGCAGACATTCAAATTCACACATTTGTTTTGTTGCTGACAGAACAGGGCCTGCTGTCTGCTGAAAGTACAACCGAGTTTATACCAAACAAGCCAAAATGTTCACACAACCCATGAGGCACCCCAGTCTCTGGCAACCGTAACCACATGTGGGTTGGAGATTGGCAGTGAGTAATGTCAGGTTCTGGGCTGGGTGGATCCCAAATGTCCAATATATTACAGGGAAGCAGACTGTCATATGGCAAGGCCAAGCTAGTTTTGAAGTTTACTTTTGGGGTGTAGCACAGTGGCCCCACACACAGTTTTAAATACCACGTTCCATATGAGGCTACTGGGTGGAGCAGCAGGTCAGTGAATGTCCTGTAATTAAACCCTTTCATTTTCAGTCAAAGCTGTTACATCTGGGAACTGACAACTGAATTATTAAAATGGAACTGCAGCTACATCACAAACATCTACAGTCTGCGTACAGTGTGGTCTAAACAAAATCCACAAATATTGTTTTTGCATTGCAGGACGTATTTGACATCTCATGCAAGACCAACTTACTACAGTTTTTTGCTGAGGATTATTTTTTGGAGCTGAGGCCTGACCAATAATCAAACATAGTTTAAAAACCTACTCTGGACTGAGATTTCCTATTGTGTACATAGCATTGCAATATTCTATAGGGTTAGTGTTTGTCAAATGGAGACTTCTGACAGATCTGGTTGGCTGTGTAAACATCTGTAAGAGTTTTTTTTCTGTTACTGTACATGTCAAGCTTGGTTTACCTAGTTTTTTCCTGCATGTGGCCCTTGTACTCACAGAAAATACCATTTTTATATACTGCAAAACGGCTAAAAATACACAATAACCCACACTTGTACTTCAGGAAAGAATAGTCTAAATAAGTGCGTGTACATGTGTTCTACAAAATTATTTGTAATGTTGTCATATGTTATACGTCTGGCCTGTTCCCTATTAAGCATGAACAAGAGGGTTATTTTTTTCAATTCAGTCCATAACAGTGAGAATTATATCAAATATATTTGCCTATATCCGCCTGTCTGTAATCATGCCTAGAGCACATTCTTGTATGAACTCAGAGGTTGCTGTGATCCCACAACTGATGACCTTAAAAGGGGGGGACTGACAGTGACCAGTTGTTGTATACCTGACTATAAACTATATAAACTGCACGTATATAGTGGAAAGCTTAGTTGTTTTGTGGTGCTGTGTACCTTCAAAAGCCCAGTGCTAAAAGGTTAGCATTGTACCCCCAAAAATGCACACAGTAAATCACAACTTAAAGACAAAGACTAGTTTAACTTGTACATTTATCAACCACAAAACTAGTAAATAGTTAAATTAGGCAACCTCTCAAGTACTTGATAAAGTAAAAGGGATTTTAGAGGGAACTTAGCTTCCTGTAGCTAGTAACTGCAGAATAAACTTCCAGAGACCCATAAATATAAATATAAAAGATGAACGTATTTTATGGTTTATGACTGTTAGGATATTCTGCATACTTTGCAATTTATCACCCGGCAATTTATCACCCGTACAGTTGCCTCTTGGAGATAATATCCTTCTACAGTTACCAACATGCTACATGCTACCCTAACATGTTGCATGTTTATAAAGCATCCCATCGCAGGGTACACTATCCTACCTGTATTAGACTGACCTAGTGCGCAGTTTTAATCTTTCTATCTGTATTTAAATGTACAGCTGTGTTTTACAGCTGAACACATTCTACCACAGTTTCTGACACTGCGTTTTTTTAAAAAAAGACTCACGTTGCGGAGTTGAATCATAGCACCCCAGTTTTCAGCATCCTACCTGCCTTGCTCGAGTCTCCTTAGACCTCTGCTCGAAGCCCTGCTGCTGCCTGCTGGTCTGTCGCTGTTCTGCCCAGGATGGGATGTTGATCACCACACAGTGGCTGGCTTCTGAGGAGGCGCTCCTCCTCCTCCTCCCCGTAGCTCCATATACTCACAGCTTCTTCATCCATCCAACCTTCCTTTTCTGCCTCCTTCCCTCACACTGCATTCCCCTTTAATTCAGGTTCTGTCCTCCTGTAATCAACGCTAGCCTCTCCTTTAACTTTAGGTGTTCTGCAACAAGCATCTTAGGTAGTTTATAATTTGTGGTTCATTGGTTATTCATTATTGAGATACTATATATCAGTTCTGGTCCATTTATACGGTATTTGGGAACAAAATGCACTACCAACCAATTCATATTTCTGTGTATTCAGGCAGATTATTTTTGCCATAGTAAAATACATGCATGCGCATTGGACAGACATAATCAAATCACTAATATTTATAAGAATTTAATTATCCCGAACCTGTTTCCTCCACTTGTAGCTACAAATTGACTGCTTGCCAGACACTGACTGCAGATCGGTGGGAAACTGAGTCACTCACTGCGGTGAGATGGGAAAACCGAAAGAAGCTGATGTGAGATCAGTACATTTCCCAAGCACAGTCATGAGCAGACCTCGGTCAGAGTGAAGGAGGGTGACCTGTCTGCTTTGTGGCGCTATTGAAAATCAGTTTACCATGAAAGCAGGTTGGAGGTCTCAGTATTCTATCGAATGTTATTGATGTTGCAACAATACGAAACCTTTAAATTTGCGAAAATCTGACTAGATTTGCAGAAGGTGTTGCATTTAAGCAGATTGTGTGTTCGCTAATGTGGGATGCACTGTATATAATTGTTGTACTTCGACTTCATCATTTTTTTTAAATTATTGTGGCAATGTAGTAAATACTAAAAACCCAAATATGCCAGATTTAATTGTCTTTAAAAAAAACTTTGCATAATGAACAGATGTAAAGGTGGAAGTGACATGATTTCTATGGAAGAAAAAGAATAATACCAAAGCTAAGACAATCATGCAAACAGACAACTAAAATTTGTGTCAAGTTTCAATAAGTGAGAGAATAATTATCAAGAAGTTGAAATACCTCCACAGGATTAAGAGTAAAAGCAAAATAAAAAGGTGACTAAACCTAGTAGCTGTAGAAGTAAAACAACTAAGGGATGTGTCCAGGGACCCTGAAATAACAGCAAAGACACTAATGAATGACTTGACCTAGTCTGGAACAAATCTAAATAGCAACCACCTGGATGTTGTGCCACAGCTTGCAGATTCTGGAAAAAAAAAACTACTAAGGTTACTGAGTCTGACATGTTCATATGTTTGCTTTAGCAAATGATGTCATATGTCAACAGGACAACATGTGACAACAAAAAACAATTTTCATTTATGACAATTTTAGAGACTTTATTTGTATAATTTGCTGCCTGTGTTGTTTTTGACACAGAGAAAAACATCGCAAAAATGAGGAGAACATTTAAACTCCACATGGAAAGGGCAACCAACCATGCAAAGACACAAACCAGAAACTATTTGCTGTGAGTCAACAGTGCTAACCAACAGGCCACCATGTGGCTCTTGGAAATACAGTACATACGAAAACCAACAATGGTTCAACCGTAAGAAGTTGGACATATGGCAAAAATGTGCAAGAAAAGAAGAGATGTACCAGATGTAGTGGGAAAGAGAAGATTCAGTAAAAACAATATCCTGTAATTTTGGAGCTGGTCTGTCTACATTGGTGTTTAAGGTTTTGAAGTGATGAAAACTGAAAAGGGAAAAAAGACAGTATCTAATCCAAAGTATGGGTTAGTGATGAAAACTGAAAAGGGAAAAAAAGACAGTATCTAATCCAAAGTATTACAGATGGTGTTTGCAAGTAAAGTAAGGAGAGGAAATGTCACGTTTATTCAAAGTAGTTACATTGCATTTAGTATTAAACTTTGTCTAATTGCACAATGTCTTGACAATTTAGTGAAAATTCCAGGATTGTAGATAATAACGTGGAGCAATTTGGAGATAATATAAGGAATATATTGAATATTCGATTCGACATGGAGTTCCCGGGCAAGAAAAGTAGAAGAAGACCTCAGAGAGGTAGATGTTGTAAAAGAGGACGTGGACATAGTTGGTGTATACGCCGAAGAGACAGAGGGTAGGGTGAGATGGAGGCAGAAAATACGCTGTGGCGACCACTGACGTGAACAGCACAGAAGTAATTTACAGTGTCATTTCACTATCCAACCGACGTGGGGCTGTACTGCACTGACAGAGTGTCGCCTGCCTGAACCAGGTTCGAAGAGGAAAAACCTAGGAAATACGTCACGCGTCGTCGCTAGTGACGTGGCTGTTGCTGCTGCTGGGATTTTGCTTCCCTGTATCTGTGTGTAAAGGTTCGGCTGCGGGCTCTTTCTTTGACCGGGGATACCTGTGTCAATAAACAAATCACCAAGCTGTTATAAACAACAAAAAGTCTCATAATTACCACAAAGAACCACAGGGACGGCTTTTGGCTGTTTGAATTAACGCGAACCTGTCGGTTGAATTAGCCTCTTCTTACTCGGAGGACATGGAGACATTTGGCAACTCGCACAAGAAGCAGAAGCTGAGCAACACCGCTGAGAGCTGGGTGAGTTTTTTAGACTTGTTTTTTAAATTCAACTTAATGATTCACCATACCCATTTACCTTTATAATAACGAGATGCCATATTTACTGCTAATACGTCTGATTGATAACAATAATGGAGAACGGCTAAGCTAGCTTTTCATTGAATGCAGCGCAGAGACTAAAAAAACATTATATCCAGTGGTGAAAATGTATTTTCCCCTTATTTTAAGGATGAAAAGTTATTGACTGAACAGTAATAATAGTTACTATGTAATTCATTGCCTTTATTATTTCAAAATCTTGGGCATGTCACACTCGATGCCAATGTTCAAGTCAGACATTTGTAAAAGCTTACGCCATGGTGTAATGTATTATTTGTAATAATTGTAATAACATCAGTATTACTTAGTAAAATTTTGATAAAAGCGTCTAACGACCCATAATTTGACAATAATAATTTGACTATAATTAAATAATAATAATAATAATATAAATAACAACAAAAATTGAGTTTTTAATACATTATGTTTTGCTGGTAATATGAAATTATATCAAATCTTATATCAAAATTTCCAGGGAATGCAACGTGCAACTAATGTCACCTATCAAGCTCACCATGTAAGCCGAAACAAGCGTGGTCAGGTCGTGGGCACAAGAGGAGGCTTTAGAGGATGCACTGTTTGGTTGAGTGGTAGGTTTCACGGTGTCACTGGAGCCTCTGTCCTTCATAAATGTATGTGATTTTAATTGTAATCTGGTTTTGTTTTCTATTTTACAAAGGTTTGTCCGGTGCAGGAAAGACCACGGTGAGCATGGCTCTAGAGGAGTACCTGGTGTGTCATGGTATTCCCTGCTACACCCTTGATGGGGACAACATCCGTCAAGGCCTAAACAAAAACCTGGGTTTCAGTCCACAAGATCGTGAAGAGAACATCCGACGAATTGCTGAGGTGGCCCGGCTGTTTGCCGATGCTGGGTTGGTCTGCATTGCCAGTTTCATCTCTCCGTATAGTAGGGTGAGTCCATTAAAAAGTTAGCGTAGACTCACTAAAACAGTAACTCTGTATTACTATGATGATACTTAAAGCTCCTGCCTACTGTACATACACACATTGTCCATTAGTGAAAAGAAGAAACTGATAATCACACTTTGTTTTGCAAGCAAGCAAAACAGCCCCTAACTCTAAAAAACAGCATAGCTGCTGTAAGGTTTGAGAGGTTTTGCACTGAATTAGTGCAACTGTATTGCTGATGTTGATACATTTATCTGGTTATTTTGTCATGCTAACTTTAAATCATTTCTGTACTGTTACTGTTGTTTTCTTTTCAGGATCGCCTCAATGCTAGAAAGATCCACGAGGCTGCAGGTCTGCCGTTTTTCGAGGTTTTTGTTGATGCTCCCCTGGACGTTTGTGAACAGAGGGATGTGAAGGGATTGTACAAGAGGGCTCGAGCTGGGGAAATAAGAGGTAAAGTGTGGTTTGATACAATTGTGAGTGATTGAACACCTGGGTTATTAAAGTCCAAATAACATAAAACATAACATAAAATCATGGACATAAAAATATTAGAGTTTAACATTTTTGATCATAGGAAATAGGCCGACTTCGTAATTTATCATTTCTGTCTGTCAGGTTTCACTGGAATTGATTCAGAATATGAGAAACCAGAGGCTCCAGAGTTGGTGCTGAAGACTGACTCCTGCAGTGTCAATGAGTGCATCCAACAGCTTATTGACCTACTTCAGGAAAGGGTGTGTAAATTTATAATTGTCCTTACACATGATTCAAAAATATGTTGTGTTAGCAGAATCTGCTGTGACTGTTTTATTTGTTCTGCTCTCACTATATTGAAGAAAATCTTTATGTGGAGATTAAATAAATGACGGACTTGGTTTGTGGCACAAAAAGCCTGCTCTTCCCCCATTGGCCACTAAGGGGCAGTGAAGCCTCACACTTGTATTGACGTTGACGTCACTTAGTGTCAACATAAATCAGACAGTGGTTCAGTTGTTGTGTGTATTGTTTTGTATCCATTTATAAAATGTCTCTTTCATATTTTCTGCAGGATATCGTTCCCATTGATGCGTCCTACGAAGTGAAAGAGCTGTATGTTCATGAGAACAAACTGGACTTGGCTAAAGCTGACGCAGAGACTCTGCCTTCAGTACAAATTAGCAAGGTGCAACTGATATTTCAACATTGTTATGACAATTTAACAATAATAATAATAATATTTAACGCTGGTTATTTTGACTAAACTGTTGGTATTTAACTCCCTGTGTTTGACTGTATGTGTAATCCATAGCTGGACATGCAGTGGGTACAGGTGCTGGCTGAAGGCTGGGCCACTCCCCTCAATGGTTTCATGAGAGAAAGAGAGTATTTACAGTGTCTCCATTTTGACTGCCTGCTGGACGGTAAGACAATCCATGATGGTAACATTAATTAAAACACAATCTTGTTCTGTATTTCATTAATGCAGGTTTACCAAATACAAGTGTTTCTGGTGTCATTATATTTTTTAAAAAACCATATGAATCAGTGTTGTCAAAAAACATAAAAAAAAAACATATGAATCAGTGTTGTCAAAAAACATGGTGGGTAAAAATAAATATTTAAAAATATATTAAAAAGCATATTGCAAAAAATATGCCCCCCCCCCAAAAAAAGCCCAGTTACACCCTTTTCCTCATCAGTGTTATTGGTTACATTTAAGATCACTTCCTGACTCTAATCGTATTCATTAAAATGTCCTTGAAATGTCCTTTTTAAAGTAAATTTCCAATATATTTTGGCACTGATGATTGCAATAACTTTAATAATTTGTATTTCTCTGCCCAAATAAAATTGCAGCCTTGATACCAACGAACAGGAGCCTCATACATATTGTATGCACATTAAAAAAATCTGACACAGACCATAGAATTCAGATTTGACAAATAATGCCTCTAACCACATTCTGCAACAGATTTAAACAAAAACAAACCCCACAAGAAAAATGTCAAACATGGAAGGATTTCAAACCTGCTGTGAATCTTCATATATACACAGTGGGAGTAACTTATGCAAAAACATGGACTTAATTTATGACATGAATATACAGTATAACTAAATACATCCACGTTAAATTACTTCTGCTGGGTCATATACTCAGCTTTACTCTAACATGGTATGTTTTAATGGTGATACTGTGGTTTATGTTATAATTTCAGTTGGTAGCTAATAGAAAATTTACTATTTGAAACCAGTAAAGGTGAGATTTGTTTAATGTCCTCTTATGTGTTGTTACATAATCACACACATCAGATGAAGAAAAAGTCATATTTTCAATCTTAACAATTGACAGAGTTGGTGTTAAGATCCTTCCTGCTGTTCACCATAAAATAAAAATACATTTGTATTGTTGTTCCAAAGAAAGAAAACTAATCAGATTAAATCAGATGACTGGATTGAAGTGGAAATACACACTGATGCCAAAAGTATTGATTCCAGTTTTTTTTGGTCCGCTATGAGAGCGATACAGAGGAAGAATCCTGTGTATTGATTGACACTGAAGCCACAGTTTGTCCATTTTCACTTCCTTCCAGGGGTCTGACAGCAAAATATTAATGTCACAGTGAGAAGATTGATCGGCGAAAATAACAGCACAACTGGACAGAAAATAGAAAACTGCCGTCTTCCAATACACTGTGTGCTCCTGTTTTATCAAACCCAGCTGTACGCTCTTTACTGTGACAAGGAGAGGGTCTGGGGGAAGGTGGGGGCAGCCACAGTCACCGTCCCCTCCTGCCTGTCCACAAGTTAAACTGATGTGATGTGAAAAGCATGCTGTTCCTAAAGCTTTCAAAGTCTTCAACGTTTTCATCATCCTGAACAGCCAACCCCCCCGAACACTGTCACGACACAGATTTAACTGTTTCATTTGCGAAGCCATACTTTAACATTGGTTTTCTATATCAAAGTTTTTTCCAATACAGTTACTTAAATTCAAAAAACAGTTTAGCTAACTGCACTGACCTCCATGATTTCATGCCTCCTTTTTGAAAAATTTTGCAACAATTTTCAACAAGAACAGACTTCCAAACAACTTTTAAAAAAATGCTTGGAGATTGTAAACACACCACACACCTAGTGTCACCGCAACAATCTAAGCCTAGAGTTATTGTTGGCTATCAAATAAAAAAAACACACCATCATCTTTGATTGAGTCCATACCAGCGAACTTGTCAGTGTTAGATTTAGTTTAACCAAACCACATAGTGATTGGCATGTGAGAGAGTCTTCACTGGTGGTGGAGTGGGATTTGTCTTTGAGTCTCCGACGTTTAACTCATACCTCAACTTCCCCACTAAAAATTACTACGGTAAAATTGAAATTAATTTGCCCTGCTGCCCACCCCTGAAATTGATCTGTGCACTCTGGATGGGCCCAACCCCCATTTTGGAATTGCCCACACCTGGATGGGCCCAACCCCCATTTTGGAAACCACTCCACTAGGGTGAGGCTGATAAACATTTCTGAACAGCCTAATTATCACTGGTGATTACGTTGTCCTGAGATAAACTATTCAGCTTCAACTCATTTTCCAGCAACGTGCAGCTTCCAGAAGCCTGTGGAAACAATGATCACAAACCTTTTCTCCCCTTCTGGCTGATGTGTCTGTCCAGCCAAACGAAGGTTTTCACTTGCTACGAAAGGCTGACACTTATACACATCTGTATTGTAGTAAAAATCTCTCTGCTTCTACGGTCCTTTTAAAATTAAATTGGACATTTGACAATGTCGTTTTTTAAGTAGTAATTTTGTGAATGGTGTTCAGTGGTTGAGCCTAAGGTGGGGCAAAACTGCTTTTCCAGAAATGTGTCATTGATTTTCCCAGTACTAATTGTAATGCTGGCTGAAATTACACATGTGTCACTGGATTTTTCTCTTTTTGTCTTCTGCCTTTAAACTTTATATTGTTTAATTTATTCACCTTTTTTATTCAGTTATTTAAAATCTCTTGTTTAGGTGGTGTCATTAATCTGTCCGTGCCCGTGGTGCTGCCAGTGTCCACTACCGACAAACAGCACCTGGATGGTGTTACAGCTGTGGCCTTGGTCTACGAAGGCAGACGAGTGGCTATACTCCGCAACCCTGAATTTTATGAGCATCGCAAGGAGGAGCGCTGCGCTCGGCAATGGGGCACCACCTGCAAGGACCACCCTTACATAAAGGTACGTCTCAGATAAGATATGTTTAGATTGATGTCTGTGTCCTCTGCCAACATTACTAGCACATGTGCTGTACCTAATTGTATAAATCAGGTAGAAAATCCCCGGAGCTTAGAAAGGCACTGAAGCAGACCTGCTGAGATCCAGACTGTCCGTCTCCCCGTGTGTGCTGTGTGATAAACACTGTGCAAGTGAGAGAAAACTGCCTCTCTGGTTTCTGCATTGATAGAAGACAGATCCAGGCTGGCCTGTTCACTCTGCTTATGGAAAGACTGACTACGTAGAAAAGTGGAGCCTTTCTCACACTCTGTCATCATGCCCAGAGTAATCACTTGATCTTTTTGGTCCACCCTCATTTTTGCAGGTGTTATATTTGGATGCTAAGTCTCTTCCACAGTCGCCACCAAATGTGATCTGCTATTGTGCAACTCAGCTGAACAAGCCTGTGGGACCCGTGCCAGCCTCTACCTTTCAGCCCCCCTAATCCTTCTCTAAACATACATAAGAATAGTTTCCATCTGTTTTTCAACAGAAACGCTGCCACACACCGCACAGGTAGACCCAGTGGCAAGATAACGTCCTGAAATGATCCTGCCTGCACGGCCATTTGGTTGTAGTTGGACATAGTGTGTTGCTGACATAGGCAGCAGGAGTAGAAGTAGCAGTGTAACACACAATGACAATGAAATACAGACTAAATTAAGCACAGACAGAAGGAAGTGGCGGATGAAGTGTCCGTCTTGAATTAAATGAATTTCTGCAGTTGTTAGGATACAATACTGAAAAGTATACAATACATAAATCTTTTATCTCTGTTTTTAAAAACATTTATGCTTAATTAAAGGATGTGCAAATTACATTATTTAGTAATAATTCCATGTCCAACTTTTAGCTTTTGTATCTGGTAATTCCATTTAATCTGCTGACGTATTGGAAAAGTTGCCGGACAGATTAGTCACAGGGTTGCTTAGAGATAATCATGAGCAATCAGGATTGTAAATAATGATGATTAATCACAATCAATCAGGTTAAATCAACATTCCAAAAACATGACAAGGTAACTCGCTGGAACAGAAAAACATATCAGATGTCTGTGTTTCACACCCGCTTTTATTTGTGACCAATCCAAATGATGAAATTATTAATATGGAAAATGTCCAATGTCCTTAGGAATCTTACGACAGAAAACTGACATTGTGTTGGTACACAAAAACAAAATAATATTTTTATTGGTCTGACTTGTAGAAACGTGGTTCATTAATGTGGTTCAGCGTGCACATTGGTGTGAAACTGATCGTTGCTACAGCGCATAAGAAGAAAGAGTTGGCAGGATACAATGTTGTTCCCACTGCTATGACTTGGAAAAAGACAGAATAAAAGTATTACCAACAAGTCTGATGATCAGTTAGATTTTCCTGATTATTGGTGGGGTAAAGACCCATACATCAAATGTAACTACCAGGTCTGATTTGGGTCACTGACTCTCCACTGCTTAAACCTACAGTGTTGGCTTTAAACTAAGCTGATTACTCTCTATCCTTTCCACAACTCCTTTTTCGTTGTCCATACAAACCTGTCGCAGCTGAATCTGTGTGCTCAGCTTGCTGTAATTAGGACGCCACTCACTTTGAAATAGTGTGTATATGTCTACGTTAACTAGTGGATGTTTAACTCTCCATGCTGGAGCCAGTCTATCAACACACCCCCGTGTTAGTAGCTGTAACTTTTTTCTCTTCACCCTGTCTCCCATAAAAGACCTGCTCCATATTAGATGAAGCTAATCCTTTTTTTCCTGTTTACCCGTCTGTCAGTCAGGCAGGAGCCCCTTCCATCGGAAACTACGGTGAAGTGGCTGTTTATTTTGCCAGTCTGTTTCACATGTAAAGCTTTGAGGTCACTTCAAATAGCTGAAACACACCTCTGAAAGAGGGCTTGTTACATTTGATTTATCTAAAAAAGGTAATAAAATTTAGATTTTTTTATTTATGTAGCAAAATTCATAACATTACTTTTCTGTCAGTTACTTGAAAGTGTCTACTGTCAACCACGGTTCATTATTCACGCCCCAGCAAAAGATTAATTGGAGTGTGAAAAACAAATTCTAAACAATTTTAAATATTTCCCACAATGCATCCACGCTGGAGTTGACCGCATCATGCTGTCTGCCACAGTCTGTCTGCCACAGAAATCAGTTTGTGAAGTCAGGATATTAAAGTATTTGCTAAATTCATTTAAATGATCGATTATATGTCAGTGACATTAGTTTTTTCCAAATTGTTTTTTTCACAGCACCTAAAAGCTTCAGATTTCATTTCAATCTTTTGTTGTTAATTCTCACTTCACTGAAAAACGTGCTCATTTTATGGCTGTGGCTGTTAGAAATTGTCAGATCATATCATAGTTACATCCCACAGGCCTGTGTGTTAAGTAAATAAAACAATGCCTAAAACAATAGAAGCCATTGTTGGGGTTGCAAGCTCTTCAGTGATATTTTGGAATAATTCCTCCAGTGTGGTCAGGACAACATCACCTGGTTTTGTTCAGGAGTCTCTGCTTTGTTGTTGAATTCTATGTACTAGATGTCAGCAAAGACGGATAGGAGGATTGTTTAACCCACTGTTAACTGTGACATAAAAACACTGTCCTTGATATACACACCGACAGAAACACACATTTCGGTTACCAACTCTATGTTGTACACATGAATATAATATATGAGTAATAACATTAAAGCTGTTGGTTATTAATTAACATGAATTTTTTGAAACATGCAAAAGGATAAAACATCTGCTTAATTCTTTAACTTCAGAATCTCCAAAAAAAGGGCAGGGAAAAAGCAAATTGGAAAAAAAAGGACATCCAAGCATCATTTCTCAATAAGCAGATTAACTGGTAACAGGTTTGGGTATCATGATTGGGTATAAAAGAGTTTCCACCTAAGGATTAGTCTCTGCACGCAAGGATGTTTATGGATTTAAAACAGTTTTCTCTGCACACGATAGCCGCACGTCAGTTAAAAGAAATACTGTTAAAAAATCCGTTTAAGACTCAAGTCCAAAGTCTAGCTAAACATCAAGGTGTAGGGCAGTACTGCATCAGAAAGTGTTGTGCCATCATGATGGTTTTAAGACTACTAAGGAGGAAGCTTAGCATCAAATTAGTTTCTTGTGGCTCATATGACAGTGATCATCAACTGACAGCCTGTGGGCTAATCCGCCCGCTGAACCATCCAATCTGACCTGAGACATGATTCCAAAATAAACATCAAATAACAATGTTGGACAAAAATGAAATTTCTATTTAATTTTATTTGTGTCCGTCCCCTAAGGTGTCTTCCCAGAAATATTAAATGTTTGCACACATTTTTAGGGAGTTGACAAACCCTTCTGGAAACAGTTTTAAAAATTACACATTGACTTTGTTGTGGAAATGTAAACAGTATCTTTAGACGGGATTGAGTCTTCAGTGTGTTTCTTGTCATGATTTCCAATACTTCTGCTGCAGATGGTGATGGAGAGCGGGGACTGGCTGGTTGGTGGAGACCTGCAGGTTCTGGACAGAATCACCTGGAACGATGGACTTGACCAATACAGACTGACACCCACGGAGCTCAAACAGAAATTTAAAGAAATGAATGCAGGTATAAGGCGAACTGTCTATACCATACTTATTATCAAACAAGAACTGTGAGCTCTGTCACAACAAGAACACTTTTTGTATTTGACCTCAGCGATTGGTTAACAGCTACTTATAAATCCTGCAACTCTTTTCTTAATTTGACCTCAGCGATTGGTTAACAGGTACTTATAAATCCTGCAACTCTTTTCTTGAAACAATGTAACAATTCCTTCTTTTCCTTCCTTCAGACGCCGTGTTTGCATTTCAGCTCCGCAACCCAGTCCACAACGGCCATGCTCTTTTGATGCAGGACACCCACAAGCGCCTCATCGAGCGAGGCTACCGACGACCCGTGCTGCTGCTCCACCCACTGGGAGGATGGACCAAGGATGACGATGTGCCGCTGCCCTGGAGGATGAAGCAGCACGCTGCCGTGCTGGAGGAAGGCGTCTTGAATCCAGAGTCCACTATCGTTGCCATCTTTCCATCGCCAATGATGTATGCTGGGCCGACAGAGGTAAGGCCTCTGATGTGCGTTTACATTTCAGTGCGAGCACCGAGCTCTGGTTTTATTAGGAGTGGAGGAGATCTGCTCAAAGCTAATGGATATAAGTTGTGTCATTAAATGACACATTAGCATTTATACGCTGGAATCAGTTGGCTGTGACCATTCCACTTTAGTGTAACAACAAAGTCTCAATGCAACAACAACATCTGTTAAAGGGAAAAGACATGTTTTCCTGAAAATTAACAATGAACATGGAAAATGATGGCAGCACGATGTAATGACATTTAGTACTAAGTGTGTGCACATGTCTGATTGTGATAAATGGCAGGAAAGGGGATTTCACATTTCCTCTGGGAGCTCTGTTCTGTGTTTCCATGCCACACACCAGCCTCCATGTGACTGGGCGTAGCTGTGCAGTCAATATATTTAATCGCTTCTTGATTGAGTCAACTTTATTTATTATTTAAGTTAGTTTACTTAATGTGCTTTACATTGACAAATGGACAGAAAAAACCCCAACAGACGCATGAAACAACACAGTACAAACTGGGGCAGGGATAATAAATGAGCACCGTAGAGATACTTATTGAGGAAAGACTGCAGGCTGTCAGGTGTTTATAGTTTTCGGAGTGTTTGTTTGTTTGACTGTCTGTCCTTTTACAGGCAGAACCACTCGAAAAGGAAATGAGAAAGTTTTATTAAGTTTTCTGATGATATAAGTTGTGGCCCCAAGAAGAAATTATTCGATTTTGGTATTGGTTTGAACTCTGGCTGCTTTGACTCGTTTTCTCTAGACTCTCTCAGTGAACTCTAGACCAGGACTTCATTTGCTCCTTTTCTTTCTATTATTTCTTGATTCTATTTTGGATTACAGCTTAAAAAAATCCAGTCATAAGTCTCATTGTTATGACATTGCTTCCCTCAATATAGAGTAAAGTACAGCGCTGCCCTGGGATCCAAAAATAAACAAACTACACAAAAAGGAGATCATTCTGAAGGAAGCATTATTAATAGTTTGTAGATTTCAGAGTATTCATAATGAGTAGCAGACAGAGAACCACAGTGAGAGAACCTAAGGTGAGCCGTTGTTGGAGGCCGGTCTGTTAGACCAGGAAATGTAAAACGATTCATTTAAGTTTTTGTGTGTCAAGTGAGGACTGTCCTTACCAGTAGAGGGCATTGTCCTGATACCAGTTTTTGTTTCCCTGATGATATCCCGTACCATTATCAGTGTCTTTAGGTTGGGTTGTGAAATTAACTGGATCGCAGTTTTATGTAGTTTCTGTGTGCTTTTCAATAAGTGTGAAATTAACTGGATCACAGTTTTATGTAGTTTCTGTGTGCTTTGTGGGAAATGGTGATGACATCACAGTGAGGACATCATGACAAAAGTCTTCAAACCGACATCAATGAGACAAGAGTTTTAATTTTTCTCAACCTTGTCCTCAGGTCCAGTGGCACTGCAGAGCTCGGATGGTAGCTGGGGCCAACTTCTACATAGTGGGTCGTGACCCTGCAGGCATGCCACATCCAGTCACTGGCAAAGACCTGTATGAACCCACCCACGGTGCCAAGGTCCTCACCATGGCCCCGGGCCTCATCACCCTGGAGATTGTACCTTTCAAGGTGGCTGCTTACAACAAAGTCAAAAAAGCGATGGATTTTTATGACCCCCAAAAGTAAGTTTTTAACAACAATATACAGGGGTTTTCCACTATGTTAGAATCTGTGTCCCTTTTTGTTTCCCACAGATGAGTGAGTATCTGGGTCATGAAGAACAAACAGCTGCAGTGGAGTGGATTGCAGCCATGCTCACTCACTCCTAATTTAACAACTTATTTGTAGATATAATCCAGAGTAAAACCTCCCATGAATTTCAATTACAGCCAGCAGCCTAAACAGAAAGAAGAATTACATTCTCCAAATTAATTATTCATTACGCCTGCTTTTCCCCCCCCAAAGTCTTTCATCCATTTTTGTCTCTGCTGTTCTCTTGCGTCTACAGTAAAAACTCCGGCCATTAATAACAGGTTGTTATTCTTTCTTACACAGATAAAGGGAATGTGAATTAAGAATGAGCTTTCATGTTGTTCCAGAACCTGCCATTAATTAAAGCTTGTATATAGATAGTGCACATGACTAACAAAAATCAGGCAATCTCACTGCCTCTGCTCTCGGAGTCTGTTAAGCAACTTGCCAACTTTGGCCAAGAATGTTGAAAATAATTTGCCTATTTTTCCATGATGCTTTTTCATGACGTAGCATCTATAATGTAAATCATGCAAATCAAGCACTTCTGTACAAATAAAAGAAAATTAAAAATTGTGCTAACGAGAGTTACAGTAAGGTATCTAAGTGTAATGTAAACTGTTTCCTCATTCTAATGTTTTTGTGTCATTTCCTTCTCATGTAAACCCACAGCCATCAAGACTACGACTTCATCTCAGGGACACGCATGCGCAAGATGGCCCGCGAGGGAGACAACCCTCCTGATGGCTTCATGGCGCCCAAAGCTTGGGCTGTGCTGAAAGATTACTACACTTCACTGGACAAGAGTAAAGAGTAAAGAGGGTGTGATGGTTACCATATGAACAGAGTGGTTTTAGGCCGTGGAAGGTGGGGACCACACAGCTACGTTCACAAAACGTCATCGCAGTTGTTTTTATCTTAATCTTTTTTGTGACTGTACATTCTGATCACTGATTGCAGAAATACTAGGAGAGTCTGTGTGTTAAGTACTGTTGACCAGTACTAACCTAGCTGTGAATGAATGTCAAGTATTCCCTGCTGAGCCTACTGGAGTTCATTAATTTTGCCCCTACTCTCTACTGAACCACAAACAAATTGTGCTGATTGTTTTTGCAAACGGCAGTTGCAACCTCTCAAGATGTGGTGTGCACAAGTGGTTGATGTAAAAGTCGAGTGCCTTGCTCTCCCCAAAGTGAATTCACATGATGTCTTGTTTGGATTAGGACACACACACACACACACTCACACACCTGCTTCTTGTCTCTCTTGTTGCTACAGTGTTAGTGTCAGACGGCTCCAAACTGCACAAAAGATTAGCATTGAAGATGTTTTTATTGGTATGTGAAATCCAAAGCTCCTAGGAGCACATGTGACCATCCTCACATTAAGTCTATTTATCCTCTTAATTTTTTGTGTGTGTTTTGCACGTAATTTTAGAACCCTCAACTTTTGATAATGTTTTTTCTTTTCATTCTTTCTTTTTCCTCGTGGTTGCTAATATTTTCCATGTGCTAATGCATTCGTAACGGTTGGCCTGTGTAATCAGATTGTTGATGGTTACCATTAAAGGATCACATTTGCAATCTTCCTTATACAATAAACCATTTTTAGCATAACAGACTGTTGGTTTACTTCAGCATTCTCTGATCTTCAATTCCCCATTCCATTGAACCTGACATCGCTGCCTGTCAGCTGCTGCTGAGATCTCACAGTTGGAACATCTTACTCTGTTAGCCACGTACGTCTTTGTCATCAACAAAAGCAGTTCCTTCTCCCCCAGTTGTTTGAGGTCTTGACAGGTTGGAAGTTCGGTGACCTCTGCAGTTGGTTTATATGCCTGTATATTGAATGAGACAGAACCTCCACTGACCCCAATCAGCCCCTGACACACTTGTACACTGTATACACACACGGAGCTGCAGATGGCTCCCAGATGTAGTAAAAATAGAACACGCAGGGTTAAAAAAAAACACAGAAGAATGGCTCTGTCAGAAACACCTAGGCTTCTTTATCTAATCCTGCTCCAAGATGTGAGACCTGCCTGTAGGTCAGGATACCAGGAAATAGAGCTTTTCAATTTTAGAGCATGAATCTTCTGAAGCCTGAGTTTAAAAAAAGAAATCGTAAGAACAAGGTAAGAGACGGGTTTACTAACAGAGTTATAGTGTCAAAAACTGCAGTGAGAAAAATGATTAGGAAGTTGGAAGTGATTCTGGGAGACACAGCCAGAAAGGCAGTGGTGAAAAACAAAATTTCAAGTGTTTTCTAATTCACACAAAAGAAAATATGTGTAAAGACCTTCCAGTAACAGCCACTAGCAATCATATTGCATCATGTAAGGGACCCCACCCCCCACTTTGGGAACCATCCGCTAGCTTGATAAAACATTTTTTTTACTATAACCATATTTAGGAAATGCAATTTTGTGAAATAATTGCATCTGAATTGAAAGCATGATAATAAACGTTCTGGATTTTTGAGTAATCCTTACATGGAGTTAAAATGTCCTAATCTGTTTTACAACCTCTTAAAGGTTAATCAAAAACATAACATCATTCACTACATCACAGAGAAGACACTCAAACCAACATTTGTCTTTACTCCATACGTAGGTAAATGAACATCAGCCTGACCCCTGTGACCTCTCAGCATTCAACACTGAGTGACATCACTGCAGTCTTATCCTGTAGCACCAAAAGGTTCTGCTCCTGCATGAACTCCAGCTGCATTTATCTCCAATTTCCTTCCATCTGGTTTGAATTCCTTTCAAAGCCAGTCGGGATAAAAAAGGGCTTCACTTTTGCAAACTACAATAGAGTGATACAGGCCACGGTTAAAATTCAAGGAAAGAGGTGTCTGTGTGCACAGGCTGAGTCGCCTTTCCGGTCTGAACCCTGGTGACGGCAGTTGGAAGTGTTTTGCGCATTGTTTCATGGAATCTGGACGAGAAAGGAGAGATTCCTCGTTCAGTGTCCCTGAGATCGTACATATAACTGTGTACTCCATTTTATCAGTTGACTATTCTCTAACAGCAGATTTCATTAGCTGATTAGGTAAACTCAACCAAAGTCAGTGTAAAAGAATTTAGACTTTAAACAAAACAGGATGCATTGACGGCTTGTGTCCACAAGGGCCCACAAACAGGTTCTTATTAGACAGTTCAGTTTCTTTTCAGCGTCTCCTTTTTCTTCAAATGATGTCGCAACACACCAAGGATGATGAAGATCATGGAATGATAATGACTGGGAAAACCAGCTATTGGGAAATTGTCCTGTTCAGTTCAACATTTGTATTTCATACATTGTAATTTTTTTTAATTTCATTAAAATTAAAAATACATTAAAAAACTATTAAAAAATATATATCTTGCTTAGAACTTTTTTCACAAGAACTGGTGGATGACAGAATCCGATGCCCCTCGGCAAACACAAATAATTAACAATAACAAAGTCCAGCTGCTCTACTGCAGTGTTCACCTCTAACCAAAGAGTGAAAATGTCCATTTCACACCAAAAACAAATGTCCACACCTAAAGTCACCTTAACTGTGAAGATGGTACAATAACATCTTCTTCACATATAGGACAGTGTGTTAAGTCGCTAAGCTAAATAGCGCTTATTGAATTCTGTATGTGTACAGTGTGATAAGTCGCTAAGATAAATAGCGCTTATTGAATTCTGTATGTATACAGTGTGCTAAGTCGCTAAGATAAATAGCGCTAATTGAATTCTGTATGTAATACTACTATTTAGAGGACGTATATTACTACACAGTGATACTACTACAGCACTACGACTCATGTGATGGTATTTAGAGGACGTATATTACTACACAGGATGCTTTAAAATCTTCTGTCATCACCCCAAAATGAGACTGGACAGAGTGAGGAATGCTATCTCACAGGAGATCACGCATTAAAGTGGTGACTCCTGCGTACATCAAAGAGAAGCATCTGTTTCAAAACCTCAGAAGAATCTGGAGGAGGGAGAAGAATTCCAGGCTCTAATATGAGTGACGCACTGTCAGGTACAACAGGAGGGCTGCAGGTCCAACTCTTCCTCCTACGCCTACGACAGAGGAAACAGTGGCTGCTCATGTGTCACTAACAGAAAGGCTGGAAACAGAGACGGACGTGTGCAATTCAACGATTCATCCATTGAATTTATGAATGAACTTCAGGAGGTTTGATTTAAACAATGTCATCAGGTACATTTGATTCTTTTTTACATTAAATTTAATTGAATTAATGATACCAGGCCTTGAGGACATTTTGCCCCAAACTACCCTGGTCTACGTCAGTGGCTTTTGTTTTCTGTTTTTAAGGCGTGTGTTTGTGCGCTCTATTTTGTTGTGTGCATGTGTGTTGGAGATGTTTTGTCTGTCTGCATGTGCCTCCTCCAAAACATCCCTTTTCACAGAGGATAATTGGTGAATAATGGGTAAATAAAGAAAGTTTAATTACAGTGTTGGCATAATCATTCCGTCTGATTCATGTGGGCGATGGAAAACTTAAAAATAAATGCCCTATTTTGGAGCAGGAGAAATAAAATTTGGAGCGCACTTGTTTGTGCTGAAAATAAGTGAGATGAGAGCAGGGCTGAAGGGAAGCAGCTGCTGACCACAGGAGGCACAACGCACTGTGTTCGCCACAAATACAGCAGCTCGCTGCCGCTGACCTGACCTGTGCAGGAGGAGACAACATCCTGTCATCGTCCATCAGGTCTAATCCACCTGCATTGGTCTTTTCATGACGTCCAGACTTGGTTCTGAGTTCCTTTCTGCTCATTGTTTGTATTTTTAGAAACTATATCGCAACGGATCAGACTATCTGTGTGGATAAAAATCTACAGCGCAGTCAAAACAAACACCGCCGTCTCCATTTCCCATAAACAGTCATTATGGATTTTGACTGTAAATAAATACATTTCAGGGTGCAGTTCTACAGTAGGTAACGGCTGCAGCTTTGAAGGAGTGCATTCTACAAAAGAGACCCCGTGTTTGGCTTATGTGGGACCACTCACTGCAAACACTGGAGACACTGGCCCAGAGACAAACTCCATTGGACTCGAATGCTCTGGGTGTGTTCAGTGATGTATGTCTCTCCCCTCAGAGATATTTGGGTGAGTTGATGCCACGCAGAGACCCAGGTTTGTACCATCAAACTCAGAGAAACTTCCAGAAATGATCAGTGGATGTTGAGATTTAACACCAAACTGGGAAAATATTTATGTAATTAGCTGGAGAGTTGCTCTGAATTAGGTGTGTAAAATGTAATAATTCACTCATTATTACTGTTTGATAAACATAGCCACTTTCATCAGACACAGTGTGGTAGAGCTGCTACAAATCCTATGAAAATATAATTTTAGGTTGACAAGTAGAACATAAAGAAAAAACATAGTTAACAAGTGTTTTAAGTGTATGCCGAATCTAAATTAATTAAAAAATGTCCATCATCTCACAGTAACAGACAATTATAAGCTGTTGATCCCTATCGTGTTCTGCGGTTCATAAATAACACGGTGCAGTTCAGTTGGAGTTCAACAGGTCATAATAGACATGAAGACACATAATGAGAACCTGTGACTTCCAGCAATTCTTTGCAAAACCAGAGCGGTGATGTGGTTCCAGCCTCACCCTGGCACACCTCACGTAGGCCGTCTCAAATTCCCCTGTATCATCAGATGCTCTGCTATCTGATGCCCTGATTCTATTTGTCTTGGACTTTGTTCCAGCTTTGATCATAAATTGCAGTAATTACCCTGGATCTTATCCTTCCCTCTGGAAACAATGCGTAGATGAGAAAAAGTCAATGTGTGCGCAAGCACCGGGACAGAGGCCGACCGGATGTGGGAGGAATGGTGAGAGGATTAATACGCTGATTAAGTGCAGCCGTTTATGTTTTATGGTTTCTCATCCACAGTGCACTTTGTAGCACAGCATGCAGCCGCTAAGCAGCAGACCACTTGAGTCCGGATGTGCTAATGAAGCCAAAACAGAACCTCGTCTTCCTCTGCTGTCACCCTCCCTCTCCCTTTAAACCATGTGCGTCCAAGTACAAATAAATAAATGAGAAGAATCCGAGCTGCGACAGGGAATTCTTCATTGTTTTTTCTCCGGAAAACGTAATCAATGAGGACTAACGACAGGCATGTGTGACTTGTTTTTTGGTCCTTGGATGTTACAAGAGCCACACGTTTAAACCCCTTTCATCTATTTTACAGTGTCTCTGGCAGGCAGCAGCCCTGATCAACAGGAAACAAACATGTTTGACGTCCAAATGCTGTGCACTCTGTGAGAAAACATTTTTTAATTAGAATTCCTGTCATAGTAAATTGGAGCTTCTTGGAATATCCTGGATCTCTCTCCAAGAATTTACCATCAGGCCACATTGGTTATCCAAAAATATGATGAGAGAAATTCCTGCAGTTTTTAATGTTTCCTGTTTCTAACCAACAGTCAACACCATCACACCTACAATGAGGCGATGATGAGTGAAGAGGAGGAGGAATTTATTCTGTGTGGGTGTAGGAACGCTGAAAATCCAAACACTCGCAATTTCTGACATGGTTCTGGTGCAGATTCCACGGAGTTCCTAAGAAAAGATGTAATCTTGACTGGAGCATAATCACAGAACACCGTTGCCATGGCTACTAAGTGATCATCATACCAATTAAGACACTAACATCTTACACATTTCCTCCAAAAACAGGCGAAAACTGACCCCATAGAACAGACTCGAGATTTTATGACTCACAAAAAACACTGATCCTGATCTCTGATGGGCCATAGAAGAAAAAAAAAAACTGCCAATAGAGGGAAACGATTTAGGTACTGAGGAAAAATAGTTTAATGAATAATGAATTTCTGTCTGTATTGCAGTAAAAATGAGAGGTAGGATAGAAAGTGGAAGAGGAGTTTGGCTAAACACAAAGATGGAGCTGGAGACGACAAATAGCAGGTTAGGTAGATAAAGAATAATAAGCGTTATGTGCTTTTACTTGTGTACTATTGAAATCTTAGTATTTTTTTAGTATCTTAGTATCTTTTTCCTCCTTAAATCACTCATTAAAGCCATCATTTGAAAAGTTATACAGGACATTTGAGTAGGACTGTTGTCATCCCTCGTGTTTTATAGACTCGACCAATTTGCCAACATTTCTGCTTCAGTTGGTGCAGTTATTATTAACCCACTGATTAAATCTTTTAATATGACTGAGATGCCGTTGTTTGAGAATTAGACCAAAGATTTATTAAAAATGTAATCTTGGTCATGGATGAAAACAAAATGATTTGTTAAGTATGTTTTTTTTTGGTAACGAGCCTAAAAGCTTCACAGTGAATTGAGCAACTCATGCACCGTCATGTCATTTAGAAACATTCTCAGCTCACAGTTAGGGAAATATGTTTGCAGCAACAGTATCAAATGTGTTTCCCCAGGGAGGTGGTTACCGTATGATGTGGTTTTTCTTTTTCTTTTTCTTTTTAGATGCCGACGCGTAATGATCACTTTTTGGATGATCTGTTCACGGCCTACTGGAAGTGAATGCTGTTGGACAAAAACACTTCTGACATATCCAGAGATGGATTTGATAATGTTCACACAGACAAGGTCTGGTCTGTTTTTGTCTGTACCATATGAGTAGGGAGAAATTAAAAACATGACATCAATGTTCTTGCAACAATGATATGTTAATTATTAATTATTTTTATTTAGTGTCAGTGATTAGAAGACCAGATTTGTTCAGTCCAGGCTTTGGAACTCAAACCAATCTGTTTTTGCGCAGCAGTTGCATGTTTTAAGAAGCAGAAAAGAACAATGTCAGATGTTGTAATGTTTGAGATGAGAAAATTACAAACAACACTGGCACAAGGATGAAACCAAGAACCTAACCACGTTCTATTCTTGTCTCACGGTGAGGAACACCAGTGTCTGTGTTCCTGGTGGGACGGAAATCATTGGACACAGGACAAATCCGTCACCGTGCAGTTTCATTAACAAGTTTGGACATAATGTAGTGAAACACGTTCCAAGAAGCACATGATTTTGACCACTATCACGGTGCAGTTTCGTTAACAAGTTTGGACATTCCAAGAAGCACATGATTTTGACCACTTGGGGGCTCTCTTTTTTTAGTAGGCAGAGGCATATTCTGTAAAACTGCACAAAAATTAAAATCTACGAACTTTACTTAATATTTTAACTGGATGGCCGTATTTTTCCATGATGGATGTTGTGATGGAAAAACCATACAGTAGCTGTTGTAACAACCAGCCCTTCCAAATCCACATCAAAGTGAAGATGGTAGCTCGTATTCCGATCTTATTTACCGCTCAGTGTAAAGCTGACGTTTCTCAGTTTCAGTGAGTTTCTCGCCCAAGGCTCAGTTCCTTCCTCCACGCTACTGCAGTATCACAGACACAGCAAACCTCAAGATTATAACATACATTAGCCTGGAGATAAGGACCTCCAGAAGAGGAACTCCCCGTCTGCTGGTGTGAATTTACTAAATATAGACAGTGTAAACAGATCAAATATTCTCTGTTGGGAATCTGTTGCACTTTCCCAGGAGCCGGTGGATTTAAGTCACAGAAGGTGAGTAAGATCTGACAAATATTACTTGTATGACTGAATACAACTGCAACAACTACTTTATAATCCTTGAATGGTTACAAATACCCTGCAACCTCTTTACCAAAAAACGCAGTAAGTAAATACTGCTAATTTGGTTCAGAGAATACATTTCAGCCGACTGAAGGATAACAGAGTTCTACATCTGTTCTTACTCTCCTTCCTCTGTCTCCAGCTCATCTACTTCTCTTTTCCTCCTGTCACCACCCCTCCTTAAATACCCTCATACTCAGACCAACTGGGATAACATGTCTGAAGAATCCAAGTCAAGTTCTCCTTTACAGAAATCTACATAAGCAAACAACTTCTTGTTCCTCATCGTGGCTTGACCAAAGGGATGTCTCCCTGTTTCACTAACTCTCCCATCTTTACCCACATCTGTTTTCACCAGCCAATGTCCAATCACTGAGGGAGAAACAAGGCCAAAGTGTACAGTATCAGATGTGCAACCACAGAGGTAGAGGGGTTATACTGCTTGTCAGGGATTCTTAGAGGATTACTTCAGCATCACAACAAGTGTTGACCAAACTGAGGTAGCAAACACACTTCTCCTCCACGGCGGAGGTTGTGAAGATTCTGTCATAAAAGTAAATTGGACTTGACCTTCTTTGACTGTGGCCGTGTTGGTCCCCCTGCCAACTCAACCGCTGCCCTTTGATTTGGTTTGACTCGATGCACTTTAGATCCTTTCTTATGTTTTTGGAGACAGGGTAAACCATCGGTCTTTTCAAGTAGCAGACCTCCGCGAAGGCCAACATCTGCTGTGTAAATATCCAACCCCACACGTGGCTTCGCTTCACATCACTCAGTGTTGTGGTGTCATTTCTCACAGGCACAGAAGCCGGCTCTTGTAATTGAATGTAACCATCGCTGCAGCATCACCAGACCGACACCATCGCAGCTCAGCAAAGATTCTGTTGTGTGTGTTTGCTTTTCTACGCATTTCTGCATGAAACCGAACCGACACCTGGCATCTATTAACACAGAGACTGGATTTACACACATACAAAGACGCAGCGATAAACACAATCACAGAGTTTGTTTGGTCAAACTCTGGAGATACCATTTGCATGTGGATCGGATTTTGTTAAACTGGATTAAAGTGAGATTTTGAATCTTTTTATCTTGGACCTTAATTTTAACTAAGGGGCTTTTTGTCACAGGGACAAGAATGAAAAGCAGTGGCTTTCACTGAGACTTTGAAAAGTAAAAACAGAATTCTAATTCTACATAGTCACACATTTACAGAGAGTAAGCACTGACATTATTATTCCTGTATTTTCTTAATCCCCCGGACACTGCAAATGTTGGCTCTCAAAAGAATCATAACACTCAAAAATAGACCACAAAAAAAAAAAAAAAAAAAAATTGGTTAAAGTTAGAGTCTGCAGGAATTATGTCTCGTTTCTCATACCATTTTCTTGCTTTATAAGAAATATTTTGAAGGAAACTAGCCTGGGGCAGACGATATTGAAAATGGATACACCTACCAAAGTTAATAACTTAATTTCTCCAGACGAATTATCCCGGTTTAACTCTGCTTCAGAGAAATTAAAACATCCTGAAGCTAAACTTCTCTTATTTTCCAACCGGTTCACTCTCTCTTCTTCTTTCGTTCTTAGGCCCAGGTTAACACCTACAGACATCTGGGCCGTCACATCAAAACCAGTGAAACCACCAAGGATCACAAACACACCCGCGATTATTTATTTATTTATTATTTTTTTCCCCCTGATCTCTGATGGATGTTCTGGGCACATGCTGCTTCAGTTAAAGTGAGAAAAAAAATGTGTCAAGTGAATAAGACATGGCACCTCAGGGGTACTACAAATATTTGGAGGGTAAAAGGTTGAGACACATTCAGGGGCCTGAATTCCCAGAGGATTATTTTATTAAAAAGACTAGTCGTCAAAAGTCCTAATGCATCAGGGAGGCCATCATTCAAAGGCACACATGTGGCTGCACAGGTTGATGTCTTCCTTTGTCCCACCTGGACTATTTTCCAGAGATGAGAAGTGTATTTTTCCCCTACTGTTTTTAAGGGGTGTAGTATTATGATGTTTCTCACAGACCTCCATCTTTGATGGAGTAGTTCTGTTCTGACACCAAAGTGAATCTTTTTCTTTTTGAAAACATTGTGATGGATTCGGAGGACTTCTTTTTCTCCATCATTTCTGCCCTGACTAATGCTAACCACTGATATTTTCACTGCATCGTGACGCAGCCCTTCATGTTCTGGTCAGATTTTTCAGCGACAGGTGGAATCGGACTGGTCTGAATTCAAACAGTGCTACCACAGCTCCACTGTTTTGAACTGATTTTAGTAGCACTGCACCAAGAATGTGAGTGTAAACTGTTGTTCATTTAAAACAGAAAATAACTAAAACACTGTTTTAGTGCCAATAACACAAACACCCAAAGAAATAAAAATCATCCTTATAAAACACTGCAGCTTCAACTTCAATGAAAAATAAAACCAAACAAACCCAAAAGAAACAAACATAAAACTCCAAACAACACAGTAACACAAAGAGCACAGTTCAAGCACAACCCCATGAAACCCACACTGAATCAACAATGACAAAATGGTGGCGCCTGAGAGTGGTGTGTATTTATAGTCAGGTGGACAGGTGTGAGTGATGAGGCTGATTGTTGCAGAGGCTGGTGGAGGGAAAACACAGGTGGCAGCTGTGACTAGTGGAGCTGATTAGAGGTAACCTGTTCCTGGAGTTGTGTATTAGGAACCAATGCATTTAAACTGTGAATGGCTGTGAAAATAAAGGTAGAATGAATTATTGAAATGAACCAGACTAACATTTTTAACACACAACAAAGGCGCCAACAATGACTTGTGGCAACATATTCGTCCAACTAATTCCAAGTGCAAAACGCTGTTTTAACGAGGTCCGTCTGAATGATGTAATGAAAATGTCTCAATAAATTTATCTACGGGCAACTTTACCTTGAGACGCCATCGGATGAGGACGTCGTAAACCGAGGATCTCTTGTTCTTGTTTGTTTTTTATATCAAGTGACAACAACAGCATGTATTTGTAGTGCTATTACATGTGTAGTGCACACTACGGCTATATTTCACTCGTCTTCTTTCAAAACGTCTTCTGGCACTCGACAACAACTTCCATAGCATGTTAGCATCTACATACCTGCGTAAATGGCTGACATGCTGTGGCCAGAGTTAATGTGCGGTAAACGATTTCCTTCTGTAAATGACTGGTCTGTTGGCGTTAAGTGCTGGCACAGGTCTTTCTGCCTATAACCAAGAATCCTTGTTGTCCATTGATTGAAGTGCTGGAAAGGTCACAGAGTTTCAGCTCTGACTCGACAATAACTTCTTCCCTCTTTTCCAAAACCAAAATTCTCCAGCTCCAGCCAAAACATCTGAGTGACATGGGAATGAAATGAAAAGTCGCAGACATTAGTGGTATTGTGGGATGATCGACTAACAACACATTTCTTATTTAACTGTATCACCATAACTTTGGACAGGAACGAAAAGTTAAACAAAACATGAAGATTTGTAATAAACAAAAGGCTAATTAGGTTTTACTTATTTTTAACGCTTTGATAGCTAGCTAGCTAGCTAGCTATCAAAAGTCTTACCCCATCTCCTACCTCCCCTTTTTTGACACCCAAATACATCCTGTTAGTCTAGTCTTTTTTGACACCCAAATACATCCTGTTATGGATTTAGCTGTTAATACAGAATAAGGTCCTCGTAGTGTTTCCGACCATATGTGACATACACAAGTGCTTAGTTAAAATATCCTACAGCTGGTGACGTCAACTTCCTGTTGATTGACTGCTTGTTTTACTTTTGTAAATAAATCTGTTGCCTGCTCAATCAACAAATGTTTTCCATCCACAGCCTTCACACAGTGTAGAGTTTGTAATAATAGGAGGCAACCCCGACTGCAGTCCACATTTCAACTACTACGTGACTGCACAGCTTCATCGTAGGTTTGGGGACAATGAAGCATTGTGTGGGAGACATTCAATCCACTGAACAGTCACACTGATAGCAAGTAATCACAGAAAAGTGATGTCACCGCAGCTGCTCGCAGGAACAACAAAGAAGTACCTTTTAGCATGGGCAGATCTGAAGTCACTTCAAAGCCAGAGGGGACTCACAGTTTGACGAGTCACAACCAACACAGGCAGACATTGATTATAACGCATAGTCAGGATTTCTCAGGAAACGAGAAAGGTGGCCCCAGATCAAAGGTGTTTGGATCTGAACGAGGCGTCAAACCTGTCCATGGAACTACCATTGCCGTAGGCCTCCTAAATATTTAGGCTTCAGCAGTCGGACGTGTTATGTCCTTCAACTAATGATGCCTTTAAACACAACGTAAAGTGTGTCGCAACACCGAAGGTGGGCACCGCAGAGGAATGGGAGGTGAAAATATAAATAATAGTAACTAAAAAAAAAAAACTGATTTCAATAATAATAATATTGACAAAAGTGCTGATATTTTAAACAACATAGATGTGACACCAGCAACCCTATCAAATGACCTTATTAGCATATTATAACATGTTCTAGAATAATCTAATGTTAAGCTTTGCTAATGCAAATTTAAATTTGTGTTTTCAAATTCTTTTGATTTTTTACACTACCATCAAATGACCTTATTAGCATAGTTTTTTTGTATTTCTAGAATAATCTAATGTTAAATTTTGTTGATGCAAATTTAAATTTGTTTTTAATTTTTTTTTCAAATTCTTTTGATTTTTTACACTTTTTTTATTCTACTAAGTAAGCTGAATTAAATGGTATTTTTTGTTTAAAAATATTATTTTGTTGGTAATTGTTCTTTTTTTCCTTCAGTATTAAATGAGTTTTCTTATTATTAAAAAAAAATAAAATAAGAGCATAAAATGTATTACTTGATGCCAGGAGGTGAAGGTGTTTTCACAAACCACTGATGTAGTTCACTGCATACTGATCTGTGGAAAATTTGAAATAACGTGAACCAGAGCAGAATTTAACCAAAGCGTCACAAATCCTAACAACATGGGATCACACACACACACACGCACACACACACACGTGTGTGCTACAGTCCAGACACTGTAGCGAGTTATAATCACTGCAGACAATCATAAGCAGAGCTTTAGGCTGAGCTGAAATGTGACTGGGTGAGGCAGACGTAACATGTATGTCACCAGACTCACATGCATGCGGCTGGAACTGGTTTCAATTTAACGCAGTCTTCGTCACAACTTATCAACACTTCTGATGGAGAACTCAGCAGCAATTACACTCTCACTGCGGGGTTTTGAGTATGGGAATTTAAAGCCACAGCTGGTATTATCGAATTTTATGATTACATAGTGTATTGATTCCGTGGAATAAACTGTAAAGTCACAGTAAATCGCCAGGAGGTGGTATTTATAGCCTCGTAAATATCACTCTTGGTCGATGCATGTCAGAAAACTGCGGCTGAACATTTATTCTCCATATCTGTCATTCTTGGCAACAGCGGTTTTGTTCAATCCTCACTTCCTTCCATATGTTACTGCTGTGACCTCGGTGTCAAAGACGGAACAAAGGCCTCAGCCGTGTCATATTGTTCTGTGTGATACCTGAACTCTCTGAGACACGGCCGTGGAATTCCTCCGCTCCGCGATTGTCTGGCGTGAAACTTCAGGCTTTAACGTCTTTTTTAAGATGACTTGGGGGAAAAAAAAAAGAAAAAAAAAGAAAATTGCACCAGCAGTGACATTGTGTGTGTGTGTGTGTGTGTCACCCACCACCCAGGGCAAAGGGGGGACATCCTTTGACGCAGAGACAGGAACGATCTTCTGGATCCTTGATTAGCAAAGCCGTGCACGCTTTCATGTGGTCACCATTCCACGAGGGAAGGGTCACTGTTATCGATTAAATAATCTGAGCCTGTTAAAAGGGCAGAAACAGGCAGCATTCATGCTCCAGACTGGGAGAGTGATTTTTTTTTTTTTTTCGGAAGTGGTCTAATCCATCTTCCCGGGGAAATGGGAGGATAGGAACAATTATCTGCCATGTGCTATGTGTCGTCCTTTAAGCAGAGCTGTGGCTGCCACTCAGCACGGCCTCAAGTTCATCTTCTTGGAATGTGCATTTGAAAGGAGTTAAGCAAGCAGTGATGGACCTTTGATTAAAGTGATGTTAGTAGAGATCCAGATCAGAGCCAAAGGAACTGTGCTGTAAGTGCAGCAAGGCACGGCTGGAACAATAAAGTGTTTCATTTCAAAGGAAGCAGCGTTGGTTTTTAAGATTTGATTTCACTGACTCACAATGTTCATAGACTCTTTGGGAAACATCTGATAATCTTTAGGTCATGGTGGAGATCTAATGTGGAAAAATGACACATCATGAATGGGAAAATAATGAGAAGAAAAAAGGCCAAATGTTTACTTTTTGCATAATTGAAATCACATTCATTCTTTGTGTGTCACGTATTACATTTTTACTTTGACTCAAATAATGAAAATGAATTCTTTGTCCATGTTGTCTATGAAAGATGTTTCATTTTAACCTTTAATATCATCATTGTCATCATCATAGAAAGTATGATCCATACTAGCAGAAATTCTTCTGTAACAGGGCAGTTCAGGAAGAGGGAGCGGTCCAACGAATGCCAGAAAACAAGCATGAACAGGGAGAGAGAAATGGAAACTATCAGACTTTGAGATTGTCTCAGGTCATTTATCATGTATGAACTACAGTTAAGTGCATCTATTTGTGCTCATCTGGAGAGAAAGAAAACTCACAACAATCCATAAAAACTGTGACGGCTCAGAAAAAACGACCCTCGTCATCATCTGTTTTTCCAGCACTTCTGCCAAACGCAGCTTTTCTATTTACATCACGATAAGAGGTTCACGACCCGGTTCTACTGGAACCAACTTTAAAAGAAAAAAAAAGTTTTGGTCATCATTTTGTCATTTTACAACCAAATGAAATTCATTGAGAGCTGCAAACAGATTTCGACCGTTTTAAGGACGGTGCTGTATGTGTGTAAGTTTTAAGTACTGAGAAAGAAAGATGTTGATAATTCATTGTTATTTAACCTGCAGGGAATAATTCACTCAAACACAACATTGGTGCAGCATGGTCTGACTCTCCGCTAAAACTCCACACCTGTAAGCAGGTAGAGTGACATGGTTTATATTTGCTGTTAGCAAGAAAGGTAAACATTTAGTGTAGTAAGTGTAAAATTGATGTGATTCAAATCTTCGTAAAAGATTTTGTGCATCATTCTTGCGTGAAGTCAAGGAAAGAGGCTGAAGACCTGCAGTTGGCCCAGGAGCCAGATGTTGTAAACGCCTGTACTCTGACAAGGCAGATTTAATTGCTTTCTGAGGTTTTGGTATTGTTTCTATTTGTTGATGCAATTTTCACATTATCATTTTTAATGCGGACATAAAACTGTTCTGTACTTGGCAGCTGACATCAAAATCCCAACTCTATTTTTAAATAGGTCGTCACCAGTGATCGTTCTCCAAAAGCATTAAGACTGACTTTAACATGACTGAGGGTCAAACGCTCCCTCGACCTAAAATGGGTCTATTTTCGTCCACATGTTAAGTCCGTCACCCACCCCGTGGTTTATTCTAAACATATGTATGACATTTGGAAAGAGATGAGAAGAATAAACAGAGAAAAGGTCCAGATGTCTACAAAAACAACCAACAGAACAAATTAAAATAAAATCCAGTCTGGATACAGCTCCTGTCATCCTCTAATATTCTAGGAGGGAAAATAAAAACAGTCGTCTTCATTTAAAATCAAAGCATCTTCCAGCGAGTGTTTCTCTTTTTTTCCTCTTTGAATTTCAAAAGCTGGAAATGGACCTGTTTTCTTTTTGGACCATTGCTCCCAAACTCAGCCACCTGCTCCGTGACCTGCGTCATAAGAGCATTTGCTTACATCTGCGGGGCAGCGAGAGACACAGACTCTGGGATCATTTGTTTCATTAAGGGTGGGTGTAGTCCATGTGCATGTTCTGCGTGACTCATGTCAGCGTCAGCGAGACGGCCTTTCACTGAGCTCCACCACAAGGAGCAGACGATGACTTGCAGACGGCTCGGTCAAAGCGAGGAACCGCGTATTCTGCACAGAATATAAACACCCAGAACAGCCCAGAATAAAAAAAGACTGACCTGAGGTTGGTCTGACTGATGTGATGTTCTAATGCCTGGCTGAGGGTGGTCAACCTCCAGGCTGGGGCAGGTTCTGGACCATTTGCAGGGAAAGTGAAGGACAAAAATCAAATGTGGAACCGGAGGCAGGACGTCAGTTTTGTTTGTTCTGTTAAACCTACCTTAAAATGGAGCTCAGTCACAGCACAGTTCTTGAACCAAAACAGATTTCTATTCACATTGAATTCATCTCAGCATTCAAACACAACAAACAACTGACAAGATGCTGCAATCTTTATGTCAAGCAGATGACACCTGTATCACAGGCTTCTGTTGGATGATACGGCTGTCAATCATGCACGGTGTCCACACAGATATTTTATACATGATCTGCAAAAAAAATACAAATAAATAGTTCCATAACAGAAATATGAAGGTGTAGGAGAAATCATGAGGTCAATGGTTTCTAAAGTGGAGGTTTGGGGGTCAGGGGTGGCACATAGATATGGCAGGGGCTGTGGTAGAGCAAATTAATATAAATTATATGATATTAATGATCACATAAAATATCTTTTAAATATAGTATATATGAAAAGTAATTAATCACTTTTCTTTCTTCATTATATTATATACATTATATAATACAGATTATTCTTTTGTTTTTATTCATTTTACTTTGTAAATGTCATTATGTTCTGCTTTACAGCGTCAGAAAATGGAGTCGTCAAACTGTGACACGTCGCTCATGTGTATGGGAGCGAAAGTATTGAACAAAAACCAATTGTGCAATTGAATGTTATTTCTCCGTCACATATTTGCTACGAGCAGGAAACTCCAATAACGAAGCGTGTCTGGTCTGAATCCCACTGATGGATTCCAGAGTCTGGTGTTGATAACAATGTGAGAGAGGAAGAATAATTCCTCTCCTCAGGACGAGGTGTGACGTGTGTCGTGCATCACAGAATCTTAAGAAAAGTGGTCAAAGGTCAAAGGTGACCATTGATGCTGCTGCTGTTCCACTGGGAAGAGCTGAGCCACTATTCTACAGAAAACCAAAGTGACTGTGACTTAACCACCTTTGTTTTCTACAGCTCCCACTTCCACTGTTTTCCTTCATATTTCCGTGGCCATGTGGAAGGAATGGACAATGACAACGGAATTATCAAAAACAATAAAAGTGAGCTGTTGCATATTCCACAGAGAGCAACCTGTCCCCACTTAGACGGCCGTCCACAGGCCCCCTGACTTAAACCCCACAGAACCCAGACGGTTTCGTACCCTCTTGAACTCTTGCCTTTGAAGTTCTCCTCAACGTTCCCTGCAGGCACTTGACTGTAACACATATTACTCAATGTGTGACTAATAACATCTAGAGCCTGCATTATTCTTTCAAATGGGATCCAGCAGAGTCAGGTCGTCAGTTGGAGGCTGACAGCGCGAGGCTCCGTAGCTTTTTGGCAGACAAATTTGATCCGACAAATTGCTGGGGCCAACTGAGAACAGCCGCGCGACGCCACCCAAAGAACTGAGAAGGAGCAATCAATCCGTCAGTCCTCTCTTTGTCCTCATGGTGTCACTGCATGAGCTCCGTCAAGTTTGTGGACTAGTTTGATCAAACTCTACAAACCGACCACAGGTGTGAATGTGAGTGTGAATGTGAGTGTGAATGGTTGTTTGTCTCTACACCTGGTCCAGTGATGGACTGGTGAACTGGTCAGGCTGAAGCCTGGAATAAGCAGTAATACTGCTAATGTCTCTAACCTAATCTGTGTATACAAAAACCACATATTCTGTGAGAAGCTGAAGTGCAGATCGTTTTCTCTCACCGATCCAAAGTGTAGACCAGGGGAACTCAAATAGGAATCTCAAACATCCACAAAAATATTTTTTACTGAATCAAACGTCCAGGGGTGGGGGAGGTGGGTGGACTTGTCACTGCACTGATATTTATCTATTTCCATTTCCTACAGTTGGTTAAGCCACAAGTCATAACACTGTCATATTAAACAATGCTTAAAAAAACATCCAAGAAAAACACTAAAATAAAACAAAAAGAAAATGACATTTACATTTTGACATAAATTCAAGCAAATACCCTTGATACATGTACAGTTCCAAAACAAAAGGGGTGAAAAATTGCAAAACACAGTGAAGGAAAGGAAAACAACATGTACCACGAGCCGCCATTTGAGGACCACTGGTGTAGACCTTCAGTGTGTGGGGGTCACGTATGAATTACGTTGTACAGATCTTTCTCTGATGGCAGGTGAACTGACATTTATACTTTGTTCCCCCTGATATTATTCCCAGATGTTTTGAGTGTTTCCACTATCTGGGACACAGCAGCGGTTGTTTTCTCTCAGCGTTAATGGAACATAATATCAGTCAATATGTAATGACTGTGAGGAGACCTGGATCCTGATTGCACATCAGAACAGAACAGACTTCAGCGTCAGACCTGGTCCAGCTGCAGCGTCCAAGGAAGCAATCAGTTTCTGGCCCAGGTGCGGTTTTCGGCATCTCTTTGACCACGAGCTGTGAAGAAACAGTTTTCTGTTTCCTCACTTCTTTCCTGAATCATTTTGATACTAATTTGATCCATCCTTTGAGATCTGTGTCGAACCGCACTGTTGGAAATTGTGACATAGCGGTCATCCTCTGTGTAGAGTCAGTCTCAGCAGAAACCTGGGGCTGTGCTGTGGAAAAAAAAAGAAAAAGAAAAACCTCCGCCCTCCCTCTATTAGGTTACTCTGTCGTCTGTTCTTCAGACCTGTCACGTCTCATGAGCTGTGGTTCTTCTGGACATCTACATACTTATCAGCACCAGAGCATCAACTTGCCGGTTGTGCCCTTCAGAGCTGCAGCAGCGCGGTCTCTACTTTCCTGTCTGCGTGTTCCTGTCACTGATGAATGTGTTTAAGATGCTACAACCCAGTCCTCTCTGCTCCGCTGCCCTGGTCTTCTGATCCAGGATATGAACCGCGTTACCAGCTGTTTAATCAGCAACATAAAAGCCAGACACAAACCAGCTGGGTGTCATCCAGGATTACATGTTAGGAGAGGAGAAGAGCTGAGAGGGAAACATGTAAGGGGACGGAGAAACATGGAGGGAATATCACAACAGATAAAGGTAGGAAAATAGGACAAGATGACGGGTTAAAAGAAAAAAACATTCAAAGAAAAGCGGGGGGTTATTATGAGTGCAGGGGTGGATGTCTGTGACGGATTAAAGGCCTGGTCCATGTTCTACTGCTGTCGACAGCAGCAGCATCTTCAATGTACAACGGCCTGTCATCACTTCAGCCTGACTTCACCTGGACACTGTGGATGAAAAGCTGTCATACCTTCTGTTGGACGTCTCTATTAAAGACTTTTTTTGGGAAAAAAAAAAAAAAAACCCTTGGTCACCAGACTCAGTAGGTGGCAGTAATCGAGTCTGATATTAAAACTCAAAGGCAAAAGCATGAGCCACGGGAGTTAGCAGAATCAGCTAAACCTAAAAGGAGACTTTAGGAAGTAAAAAACCTCTTAAAAAATATTAATAACATATGTTGTAAAATTAAGTTTTTTGTTGTCAAAGTAATGGCTTATGTTTAAGTGTTTTTTAAAATCAAATATATGTATGAAATATTAAAAATTCCGTTTCCACTTTTGGGCTGGATTTTATATCTGCATACCTAGCCCCACCTGCAGGGAAGGATGTAGAATTACAGGTATTTTGTAAGATCAAAAAAAAAATCATTGTGTTTTTGTTTCACCTGCTATGAAAAAAAGGTATAAATTAATGTTAAAAAAAAATTTAAACCCAGTATTGTTCAGTTCCAACATCAGGACCATGTAACGAGACTTGAATACCTCTTGACATCAATTAATCCTTTATATTTGTAGTAGTACCTGAGGTTTACATCACCCCCCAGAGCCAGACTTTTTTCTTTCTTTCTTTTTCTAAACCTGGATTAACATTATAAAACTAAAGAGCGTCTGTCCTTTAAGCAACTGTCTGGACAGCAGTCTTTCAAGCTAAATCACTGTGCACTCGGGTGACAAAGGTAGTATCACCTCCAAGCATCTACAGTTACATCAAACAAGTCCAATACTTCCTCCCACTCCCCAGTTCAGTTGGTTGTCCATTGTCTCAAACAAAAGAACTTGACACTTTGAATTGAAGCCTGTGATGGATCGCTTTTGAGGTCAGAAGCCTTTACCGGTATATTGGTTTCATCCCAGCCAGGACCAGCTTTCAGCTCCGGATAGATTGTTCTGGAGTGTGTGAAAACCAAAGCATTACTAGGTGCAGAGTCACACAGGCATTGTGGGAAAGATGGCTGTGGTCACGGGCTGTGTTTTTATTTTAGTAGTGTTCTATTTTTACTGGGAAAATTGTGTTTTATTTAGAGACACTGTCTACATTTGTGCGTCACAAAATTATTCTAAATGTATTTAATCAGAAAAGAATAATAAAAAAAATATCATATTTCCCTGACTTGTTTTTTTTTAGCAAACCTAACATCAGCAGTTTTTTAATGCTTTGTGTCTTGGCAGATCAGGAGTCAGGATTACACACACGTCGAGTTGTTATGAAGTAATTACATCAATAAAATAAATAGTAAAAGACAGGACTAAAGTCATCATTTCTTTCAGAAACAGACTGTACCTGGCTGCAGCTGAAAGACTTCATTGTCTCTCTTTTCCTATTATCACCTCACCAACATGGTTTGAGCTCCAACAACCAAACAAAGGAGCCTCTATAATAAGAGTATCTCTAACTTCGTCATCATTGGCATGATGGGGGATGCCTTCAGGAAACACAATTATTATCAGATAACATTTATACTCATTCTGTAACTCTGTTTAAACGGGTCTCAACCTCTATGGGAACTGTCTTCCAGGTTTTCATCCCTCGTCCTTCCAGACATCTTTTTGTTTGTTGACTTGATTAGGAATGACAATAATTCTTACACTTTAATGTTTTGCACTGAATATAGAAAATAATCCAATCTCTGTTGTCACCAAATGAATTATGACTTATTTTCCACATTACTGTGTATATACGTATGACCGTCAGTAAAAAAAAAAAAAAAAAAAGGGTCAAGCGCACAGTTAAAACACACACAGTGGATAATTTTATAGCTTTCCCCCAACGGGGCTCCTGGTGCCGGTGTCGAGACGACAATGCTCAGGCAGCAGCGCTGCACACAGATCAGTTACATTCTTTGTCAGTTGTGAATAGGGGCGGAGGAAGCAAAGTCATTACAATCCTATAAAAAGAAAGTATCCGAGATCATAAAACAGCCGGCTGCAGGACCAAAGTGCTCACTCACTCACCCACTCACCCAGTCACCCAGTCACAGAGACGCAGACAGACAGACAGAGAGAGAGAGAGAGAGAGAGAGAGTGGAAACCTGCTGTCAGCTTCCTCCCTGCCTCCCGGAGCATCAGCATTTAAACAGGTTCTCCTATTGTCTCCCTCCACATTGGGCTCTGTGTCTGGAGATGACTCTGTGGATGGCAGTCATTCCACTCCATCTCTGAGTCCCAGCAACAAAGACCGGGTCTCATCACTATAACAGTCTCCTTCTCACTGCTGGACAAGCGCGTCACATGGACACTGCCAGGGCGCACGCTCCTCACTGATACACACACGCGTTCACCGACCTTGGTTGTTTTAATTTTTTTTTTTTTAAGTATTTAACTTGAACAAGGATGCCAGCCATTACATGGAATAGTTGTTGTCTTGTGGTGCTTCTCGTCGCCGCGCTAAGGACGGGGACATCTCAGGTATCAGAAGCGCGCCCCAAGGCGAACTCCATCAAGCCAGCCGTGCTGGGGGAAACCACTACACCGGCTACAAACAGGACCACTGCCGTCCACCCTGGAACCACCAAGAAACACAACATCCTAGCGCAGGTAATCCTTGTCATTTATTCATCTGAGCTCTTTAAAATCATCCACGGAGCGCTTTTACGCGCAGCACAGCATTGGTTTAAAGAGGAGGGACATTTCTGGAGTTAATTTTGTAGAATGTGTTCTTTTAACACATTTTTTTTTACACCATAATAAAAAAAAAACCCAAAACAAACAAAAACAAATCCAGATTCCAAGTCTTTTCTGGGAGCACGACGGTGCGTAAAACTGCGCTCTCCTCCGCTGCGCGTCTAGATTTCCTTTTTAAGACACTAAACATATTAGATCTATTGAAGTAGAAAAAAAACCCCGACACTTTCACGTGTGAATCGTTATTGTAAATGCCACGGGTTGGACCCCTCGTAAACCCTAATTGGCTCTCAGACCTGACGCCACGCTCCGACAGTAAATCATCGATGCCCTGAGACACGTGAGAAAAAGTTAACACTTCTTGGGCTAATTTTTTTTCTGTCTGGGTCGTATTGTTATTTAAGTGGCCCAGACGCATGCTGGGATTATGATATTCAAACTGTGGGGCCTTTGAGGGATATTCTTACCAGCCGGCCACTTAATACCCACTCTGCACTAATGATGGGGCAGGGGAGCAGACGTGTGGTCAGGAACAAAATCACAGTTTTCTTTCTGATGAAAACAAACAAAATGATTCATTTTAAAAATAAATAACATGTACATACAGAGTTAGAGATTCCTTCCTGTGGTTGAGTTTCACAGTGAGCAGCAGATGGCACTCCCACCTCCCATCACTCCCCTCCGGTCAACTCAGTGACAACAGCTGATTAAAAATGTCCACACATTTCTTTCATTCCTTGTTGGATTCTTATCGTCCCTCGAGATGTTGCACTAACGCCTGACTGAACTTGGCATTGTCCAACCAGTGCAGTGCAGATAAAAGACGTGTGTGTGTGTGTGTAGGGTGAGGTGCTGAGAGCAGCCCTCTCAAATCCAGCTTTGACAGAAGTAAATGTTGGTGAAGCCACTGTCTCCTCTCTGTGGATGTGGAGCTCCAACCTCAGTCAACTCTGCCAGACCTCAGTCTAAACCTCTGCACCAGAGCTGCAGATCTGATCTGCAGCCGGGTCGGAAGAGGGAAGCGAGTAAAAGACAGAAAGACATTTGTGCGAAGGGTCACTGCTTCGTTAATAGTAAAATGTCGTTGTTTGCGTGAGGCTCTGTCGGATGCTCGCAGGTTAGCTGCACTGAAGTTCCTGCAAATCCTTACGTTGTGACTCTTGCAGTAGCAAAAATGAACAACAAATATAGTCTCTGAGCTCACCCAGGTGGGATTTGTGACAAAGACTTAAATGGTGCAAAAACCAACGCCTCCATGAAACACTTTTTTATCCATCTTCAATGAAGGCTTGGGTGTAAGTCTGGAAAATTGGCAAAATCTCACCTCAAATGTTTTTGGATTTCCCTGCATCTGCCTCGAAGAAAACCTCACTGTCAGGGTTCTTATAAAATGATTTATGATCCAGTTGTTACACAATTGATTTGCTTATAGTTGGTTAAGAATAGTTGGCAGATCATCACACCTCCAAAGAGTTTACTGCTGCTCCTGTCTCACGAATCTGTATTTTTCTTTTTAACCTCTTGTACATTAAGCACATCGTCAATATGTGTGTGTCATGGAAAGCTCTACATCATTCAGAGAAAATTTAAAAATTATT